AGATGATCACAACTCATTCTCACAATGAAACTGTACTTTAAATCAGCAAAATTCACAACGGACATCACATTAGTGTGAGAAAAAGGTACGAGGTAGAAAATTAGTTTAATGTCGCTGTTCTCTCTAAATTTATTTATCCGAGCGTGCATGCATTTGCATTTGATCAAGCCATTTAACAGGTTGAGATTGAGCTTAATCAGCCGTGAGATTCACAATGTTCTTTTGATCTAAAGTTTAAATCTGAACAAATCAGGAAAGAGAAGAGAGGATATTTTAAGAGGGAATGTCATATTATCTGTCTATGTTTTACTCGCTTTGTTTAAGGAGAAACATCATGAGGCGAGTAGATACGGTGTGTTGTTAGTTGTACTTTTGGATCAAAGGCTTAAGATGATTCACATTAACAGAGGAACACATAAAAGCAGCTGTTACTCACCATTATAACATTTTGGCAACTAATCAATAGCCATTGGCACATTTTAGGAGCTACATATTGTGCTGGTTTCAAAAAGAGATAATGAATCCCTTTATGAGCTGAAAAGCTCCAACAGTTTAATGTGCACTTTGGTTTTCAAATTGATCTAGGTCCCATTGGTGCATTTTCTCAGTCTGCATTTAGGTGTATATGTGAATGTGTCTGCCTTTTTGTGTGTTTTTGGCCGTGGAAGTGTGTACGAGTTAAACCTAAGTTGCCATGCCCACCGAGGGATATGGCTGAGCGATGTGGCCCATTAGAGGAAGCTCACCCTTAGAAAAGTCATGGAAAAAGGGCAATTATAGGCAGGCGGTACAAAAGACAGCTCAGCTCGGTGCAGAGTAGGGTCCTAAGTGCCACATCCATCTGAATTCTTTCACAGGAAGGCTCAGTATGTCTCGGAGACCATGAAACCCCAAACGACGACATTAAGACAGCTATTTTATGCTCTCTCATGGGGGTGGTGGCTAAACAAAACTATTTTTCCATTACTTTCCTCATTTATGTCTTGCTGCTACACCAGTTGAAGCCGGCTCGTATTAAAATGAGCTAAGAGTCCCATTGGGAGGGAATAGCGGGGACATTTTGAGCGGTAAAGATGTGTAGTTGGTGTTGAATGTTAAATGCTAATAGATGAAAGAGATTGCTTACAGAGCACATCACACCTCTGCTGGCTCGCCAAATCAGCACTTCAGCTTGAATGTGCGTGTGTGTTCGGGCCCTCATTTGCAAAAGTATACAAGATAGCTCATCTTAAAAAGAAAATTGTGTCTTTATTTACTCATCCTTATGTCATTTCAAAACTGTATTTGGACATTATTGTTATGCAACTCTTGTCATACTACAGTAGTTCAGCTGTAAACTCAATAGAAAGGACAAAAAAGTAATAAAAGTAGTCCAAGTGACAAGTCAAATTATAGTTGTTAATAACTGAAAGTTGTGTTTTAGCCATGTCCATGAAGTTGGTGAGAGCTTTAGGGAAATTATTGAATAATGATGTGATGAATAGGCTGAAATATGTGTATGGTGTTTTTAATGTGCTTCAACACAAACCAAGTCAGACTCAGCACCATTGCTGTATATTTTCCCTTTAAAACAGCAGTGAACCAAAGATAATCTCAAAAACGATGTTTGAAATCGCTTGTGTTTCTGCCGTCACAAAACACCTTGTAACCAATCAAGTCAACGTGTGATTGTATTTGTAGGCGGGACTAATTTGCATATTCATAGAGCCGCATAAATATACTAGTTGCATTCAATCTATTCTAAGGCGTGAAAAACTCAACTCAAGGAAAAAAAAATATGTAAATGTAATTTTGGTGTTCAAAGATTAGTTTTAAGTGATAAAATGAATGACTTTAGGGGGATTTTAAGATGAGCTGGAATATAGAGCACAAGTTTTTTGTCCTTTTTGGAGCTTGACAGCCTCTGATTACAGTTTATCGTGCTGGACAAGAATTGTATGACAGTTCTTCAAAAATTTCTACTTTTTTGATGAAATAACAGCATGCAGGTTTGAAATGACATGATTGGTGAGTAAATAATGGCAGAATTGCTTTAAATTCTCTGTTCCCCTTCAATCTGCCTCTTAGAAATCCTTCTGGTGATTTTGAAGAGACATGGTGAAGGGCAACCGACACTCGTCTTGCTTCTCAAACACGTCTGTGGTGCCTGATCACTTTCTCACACACATAGATGAAAATTCATAGATACGCATGCATGCGCATATCAAGCCTCTTAAATCTCCAGCTTGAATTGAACACTTTGACAAATTATTTTCCATCTCATTGGTCAAGGTGACAGAAAATGGATTGTGGTTTTTAATTGCCTCTTATTTAGATTGTATCAGTTTATTACAGATAAATCAAAAACTTGTTTGTGCCTCGATTTTGTAGCTAAAGGATTGAATATTGTATGTCATACATCCTACATCATCAATACCGTACAAATAACACCAGACATAAATGTCAGACCCTTCGGTGTGGACAAGGTTGATTAATATCATTGGGTCGAGAATATAATGAAACAAAATGTAACTAGAGAACCTGGTTTTGTAGAGTAAAATCTAAGCTGTTCTATTTATCCTAATCATATTGCGGTTTGAAGACCCATACATGCACTCATTTGTTGAGAGCTTTGAGAAAACACACACAAGCTACCTCAGAGTTTGCTTAAAATAATTGAGTCATTTACCTCTGTCTTGCATTAAATCACCCTGATAATTAAATCAATTTCCACTGTTTTGCCGTAACCGTGTTTACTCGCGAGACGTGATGAGTAATGCGGCTTTTAGTCGCTGCATTAAGCCGAGTTTGCAGGGATGTGTAAAGAGACTGCAGACAAGAAGAAAGACTCAAATACACTGTTTTCTCTGTTTCATCCGTTAGAAGAGCAGCATTCGGTAATGGAAGGAGACAGCGCGGTAGACATATAGCGCTACACCCTCCCCCCATCCTCATGAAAACTGCACAAGAAAATGCAGCTGCAGGCAAAACTGGTGCAGCCATCTAATAAAACGTACTCGGTGCACTTCGTCAAACTAGACTGACACACACACACACACCAGAAGCACCTACCTCGCACCTGCCGAGCAGCAGGTCTTGTGCCACCAGGGCAATCGCGTTACATTAAACGCATTACTCTGTGATGGTTACCAGTGTGCCAGGGGCCATGAAGACGAGTCTTTTAATTTTGAAAAACGAAAATTAAACAACATAGGAGGCTCTTCACGCAAGTAATGCGCAAGGACGCCGGGACTACCAATATTAACAATCTGATAAACGCAATAATTGCTCGCCCCCTTCAGCAGGTCTTTATCTAATAATCAGGAATAAGGTCTCATTGGTTGCCATGTCTAATAATAGTGAGTGATTATTTTAGCCTACTGTAATAGCCTGAGAGGTCTTCGCATAATAAATGGTGATTAACAAGAGTGAAAGGTGTAATTTACCTACGGACGTGCGTAATTGGTATACGGAAAATCTGCTTTTTTCTTGCACTTATGCATGAGAGCAAAGAATCGCGAAAAACACGCACACACACACACACGCACACACTGAGAGCAGATTGATAGAAAGCCACCAGTGAGAGAGAAATTCATCTGTGATGAGGAAATGTAGCCTGTTCTCGCTGGTGTGTGTTTCTCTGTGAGAGAAAGGATGGAAATTTCCATGGAGATGGAAAATTGGCTTTTGCTCCATTTTTATGGACACTGATAGTAGAGAAAGGACAGGAAGTGGTCAGGAAGTGACATGAGCTGAACTTTTCCTGCATGAGAATCATGGTTCAGTGTGTTACAGTGTGTAAGTTGTGGTAAGGCACAAATGTAGTTACAGATTTGGATGTCGTTTTTGATCATCATGATGTCCATTTTGCTTGCATACTAAAGAAATGATCTGATCCGACTCTTTAATTCGGAGAATCAGGCTACAATTGCCGTATTGTACGTTTTTGATCCACTATAAATATTTGGTTCATAAAAGTAATTTGTTTTAGAAATGGACTACATTGAAAAGTTCATTTCTATTTGAGGAAACATGCGTTTCTCTGAAATATTTGGAGAAACTCCAATTTTAAAGTAAATTTGAAAAATGTACTGTGATATAATGAATAGCAGATACTGATATGCAAATATAATTATATGCAAATTGAGCATGCATGTTCAACTATCTGTGCATGTTTGCATCGAGGTGGCCAAAAGTTTAGTATGACGTCACCACCCCTAATGTGCATACATGTGTTTTTATGAATTGTTCATGTCCTGACAGGACTAATGAACAGTAAAATGAATCCCTGTCTGTAATCGTGTGTCCACTAGAGCTATATACCGTGTCACGTTAGCGTTCTAGGAGAAATTACGCGCGTCGTCCAACTGGGCTGGATAATGAGATCTGGCGTTCTGCTTGAAAGATGAAAAATGTCAGACAAATGAGCCCAGTCAATACGAGGCTTCTTGCAAACAAATGCGTCCTGATAGGAGAGCATCCCTGCGTCTCCCTCAGTTCTGGGCGTGTAATTGTCTGTCTGTGTTCTCTAATTGCGGCATAATAAATAAAGCACGTTCATTTGTTTATGTCTGTACTTCTAATGCGATTCCCTCCAGTGCTGTTCCGCAGATATCTCTCAACTCGGCTTTTTCTCAGTTTTCTCTCTTTCTCCCTCCCTCATTCCCCTCTCTCTCTCTCTTTGTCTCCTCGTCCTCCTGTTCCTCCACTCCTCAGCACACCTGGGGGCCTGCAGGGGATGTCTCAGCATGAATAATGCAGACGAGCTTCAGAAGTTGTACCTGCTCTCATTTCCTACCATCTCTCTCTCTCTCTTGCTGTGTCAGTGCGCACTTTCTGTCTCACTCTCCTTGTCCTCACTTTTAAAACCAAGTAAAACCATTACTCCCTTGTGGGGAAGTGGGAATGTAATTTCCTGTGTGCTTGTTTTTTGCAAAAAAAAAAAAAAATCCTGTTTGCAGTTTAAAAACAAAAACAGGCTTGCACTCAGTCCATTCTCTCTGTGTCTCTCTCTTCTGCAGTGGATTTTGTGGACTGTGGCAGAGGTTCTGGCTTGCGCTTCGAGAGCGGAGACCCTGCGGATTTCCGGATAGAGGCCGACGGGACGGTTTTCGCAGCGCGAACACTGCAGCTCTCTGACGGGAAGGGGCGGAGCTTGGAGATTAAGGCCAAGGACGTGAAGTCTCAAGAACATTGGCTGGTACACGTTAACTTCACCCAGCCCAAGCAGGTAGGAAGTAAGGTGCACTCGCATGTTAACACAGGGAACGGCAACTACGTGACTGCAAAAATCACAGTAATTACAACTGTGTCAGATCGCTAACAGTGCATGGTGTTTCTAAACTAGCCTCACGCTGCAATTACACCATCAAAATGCCATCGTACGAATGTGAGCTCACAAAAATGTCTCTCTTCATCCGAGGGCCTCTGCGATAAAGCCAAAGCACTAATAAAACTATATTAGAAAATTAGCAGAGCACTAACACGTTGGTAGTAGGGCTGTAATTAATGTTTAACGATGCTAAAGAGACATTAAGGCTGGAGGATACATTAGACAGTGTGGATCTGGACCCTCAGCTTGGGAACACTAACCATATGTCTCATACCCCTGCCTTCTGCTCAGAGACAGGGAGAATTTACTCTTTATTACTGACTCACACATGCCCACACACTGCCGCCAAGGGGAAGGAGGATGAGAGTGGATAAAGGCCAAGATGGTCGAGGAGGCAAAGGAGGAGAGGGTGAAGGGTGGGCAGTCATAATATATTACCCATGAGTTTGCTGGTGATGTTAAAACCAAGCAACACTGGAAATACGGTCATTTTAATGAGCTTTTAATTTGGCCATTACGTTTTCTAAAGAAGGTGTCATTGAACTAGTTTTGCAACTAGTTTCCCTCCTTATCTTGTAAGATGGTTTAATTACATCTCTGATTTAAAGAAAGTAGAAAAAGGTACCATCTGTAGCTGAAATACATGACCATAACTATAAATTATTATATTGTCACAGCGTGGCCGTAGATTCATGTTTGTTTTAATGAATTTGAATTACCATTCAAAATGTTGGGGTTTGTACAATTTTTGTAATGTTTCTTATGCTTTTCAAGGATGCTAGCCTGGAAAAACCCAGACAACTTCCGGCAAATTTAGATTTGCTCTGCAAGTTAGTCCAGCAAGCCCATTCAAGCCCATTTCTAATCCGACGATATCGCGGCACCAATCAGAAACGTTGGAGCGGGCTTTACACGATGACGACAGCACAGCGACAGAACTAGGCGTGTGACGGTTATAGTTGAACACCGTCGTTAGAACTCTATTGCCGGCTGTATTTTTTTCACAAACATTTTTTATCATAGAAAATGTTTAAATACTAATATCAGCTTACGAGGGAGGCGGAGTTAGTGGTGCTACTTTTGGAGATGATTCAATAGAGGTCTATGCACCCCCTCACAAGAAGAGAAATCTTGGTCTGAAGTCTGAAGTATTGTTTATACTTGACGCATCCGCACGAGGGCGAAAATGTGTGCAGCAAAAATGACACAGTCGGTGTGCAAAACCCCATTTCGCTTGTGTGCACAGGTTTATTTGTAACAGTGCGCGCGGCGCCGCGTCCGTGTATGAACAACGAGTATGAACGACTTCAAGCCAAATCTGCCCGAGCCCGTAGCTTTACGTGCACCGGCACACAGTTAGCTAAATTGCTAAGTTCATTGCAAAGATTTTTTTGCTAAGGTTGTGTTTACTGTGTGTGATTTATTTAATGGAAAGCACATTCACTTCTAGTTGTCTTTGAAAAAAACGTTGAGCAAGCAAGTTGCCCCGGGGCCGGGGCAAAAGTTGCATGTGCTGCAGTGTGTGTGGGTGTGTGCGCATCACCTAATATACATTGACCGTGTGGGTGTTTTTGAATCTAACTGTTGTTCTTTTCGTCGTTTTTTTTTTTTCCTTTGCCAGGTGCCAGTGATACCGTTTCCGCGGCACAGTGTGGTTGTCAAGGATGACGGCAGTGTGAATCGCGTGAAAAGAGAGTGGGTCATTCCTCCTGTCAACGTGCTTGAGAACTCCAAAAAACAATTCCCTGAAGAGCTTGTGAAAGTGAGTGTGTACACGATGAAAAACATCATTGGTTCATCATGTGAAGTGTAGTCGAAAAAGTATGATAAAAATAAACGATAATTCATTCATTGCTTGCTATTTATTGAGTTTCTATCATGCATGGAATTTAATTTTATGTTTATCTTGTGTGTGTGTTTTTCAGATCCAGTCGGATAAGGGCAAGAGTAACAGAATTCTCTATGACGTGACTGGACCAGGAGCCGACCAAAACCCCACCGACCTGTTTATCATCGACGCCATTTCAGGAATCCTGTCCGTCACCAAACCACTGGACAGAGAACACACCCCCTACTTCAATGTAAGTGTGTGTGTGTGTGTGTGTGTGTGTGTGTGTGTGTGTGTTCATGACTCCATGTCCTGAGATGTCATGTCAAACTTTTGAGTAGATTTCATCCTAAAAAAAAAACAGATTATTCAAACAAACTAAATTATTCAATTTTTTATTCAGGGCATTCCCTAAATCTGGCTTTTCCTAAGTAAGAACAATCCTCAATCTCCCCTGGAAGTAGTTTCAAACTTTTTCTGCCTGGTTTCAATACCCTTTCACTTTACTACTGGACCCGAGAGGCTGTTAACCTCCCCCAGTGTCTACCTAATCCACATTCAGATACAAATTATGCAGAGATTACATGAATATGAAATGATTTGCTTCCTAATGGTGCCAAAGGTGGAGCATCAGGCTTCCTTCGGATAGCTCATGCATACATACAGCAGACTTAAAACTGCTCTAGCACACAAACTGCAACCAAGTCAGCTACAGCAGTTGGTTAACTCCAATAACCACTGTAAATGAGTGTGGCGGTTATTAGCCTCTTTTACACTGACAGTGTGTCTGTACTACCATTGATGTTACAGTTTTGCTCAGTTGGCTGCTGAAAATGTGTGAATTGAGTACTGTAAATGTCTTCTCTGGCTCAAAATGGCATAAAGACACTGAAAATACTGTGGAGGTTCAGTGTCAAAACTCGTTAGAATGCAAACGTGATTCAGAGGCTAATTAACTTCATGCATCCCATAGCATAGTTAGTTAGTAAGATTCAGATGCTTTTATTCAGCAAGTACATATTCAAAGGATCAAAGTTAACAATAATGTTAAAAAAAATTAAATGCACATCATCATATTATAGTGATTTCTGAAGGATCATGTGACACTGAAGACTGGAGTAATGTCTGATAATTCAGCTTTGCCATCACGGGAATTAATGACATTTTAAAATATATTGAAATAGAAAATATCACCTTTTAAAGGGTGAAAATTCTGTCAGTATTTACTCACCTTCATGTTGTTCCAAACCTCTGTGTTTATTTGTTCTGTTATACACAAAGGAAGATATTTGGAAGAATGTTATAATCAAACAGATCTCATTCCCCATTGACTACCATAGTATGTATTTTTTACTATGGTAGTCGATGGGGAATGAGATCTGTTTGATTAAAACATTCTTCCAAATATCTTCCTTTGTGTTCAGCAGAACTAATAAACACATAAAGGTTTGGAACAACATGAGGGTGAGTAAATACTGACAGAATTTTCATTTTTGGGTGAACTAACCCTTTAATTGTAATCATAATTCACAATCGCAATAGTTCTGTTTTTATTTCGTTTTGTCAAATAAATGCAGCCTTGGTGAATCTTACCAATTCCCAAATTTTGAACTGTGGTCTATATTCATATGAAAATAACAGTGAAAGTAGTTGTTTTTATAGCTGCTCAGATGTAGACGTGTGTTGATTGGTTCAGCTTTTGCTTTCATGAAGAGTTTCCATGTAAACTGTGACTTTAAATGTGTGTTTGCGTTCACAGCTACGTGCTCATGCCGTGGACTCCAATGGGAACCAGATGGAGAACCCCATTGACATCATCATCAATGTCATCGATATGAACGACAACCGGCCCGAGTTCACACACCAGATCTGGAACGGAACCGTGGATGAGGGCGCCAAACCAGGTACACACACACACACACACACACACACACACACACACACACACACGCATTCACGCTTTTGACACAGTTTATGACATGCCTTCACCAATGAAGTGAAAACTGACATTTATTGCACGGTTCTAGGTACATTTGTAATGACGGTGACCTCCCAGGATGAGGATGACCCAAATACAGCCAATGGGATGCTCAGATACAAGATCCTCTCCCAGACCCCGGAGAGCCCCTCCTCCAATATGTTCACTATCAACGACAAGACCGGCGAAATCATCACTGTAGCTGCTGGCCTGGACCGTGAGGTACAAGGATTTTTGTTCTAGTGGAAAGTCAAAAATATACTACAACCAGTTTTATTATTAATGTAGTATTTCTAATTTTTTTTTTTATTCAAGTTTAAGTAATTGTGTGCTTTTTTCTCTTTAAACTATTTCTTTTTAGCTGTAATGCATTTTTTTATTTCAGTTTTGTTAGTAATTCTAGTACTTTTTTTATTTCAGGTAGTTGTTGAAACAGCATTTTTTTAAAGTTTGTTTTTCATCAAATATAGCTTATATAATTTTATTTTAGCTTAATTTCAATTACTGAAAATTATTTTTAATAGGTTTAATTAACAGTAACAACATTGTTTTCATCTGGTGGGTTGGAACCCAAAAACAATGGGCCGCTTATCTGGTCTAATGCGGTTAAATAATAAGATGCAAACACAGGGCTGCCAACTTTTGAGTTTAGCTTGGAGTGAGAATTATGGAGGGGGATGGTTTTGGGTTTGGGGTGTTGTAAAAAAAATATATATATTTTCAAAACATGGTTACTAAATATTATTTCAAAACATTTAGTGACAACATTACAATGTTTACATGGTACAATGACTGGTAGGCTACTGTTTTTATTAGTCCTTGACAAATTTCATGATTTCAATTCATACAATTGAGATTTATATAAATCAGTACACTAGCTATATGCAATTTTTTTTTTTTTTTTTTTTTAAGGAAAAAATCTCTCAACTAATGCTGTAAACATGCAGGGAGCCCTGTCAGCTGGTATTATTATTAGAGGCAATACAATATTAAATTAATATAATGCGTTTTTTTTTTTTTTTTTTTATAATAATAACGTTAGAATAATTTTACTTATGCTATGGTCATTAAATGGCTTTCCTGAGGTAAATGTAACGTTACGTGACATTGTTCTCCAGCTTTATTATAGACCTCTTTCTGCAGTTTAAACAATGATTGAGTGATTACATGAGACATTTCAGTAAGTTATACTGCATCTTTTAACATACTTTCTAATGTTCATTTGTTTTTATTTACTATTAACTAATAGTAAAGAGGAAGAGATGATCAGTTCACATCCACTTGAACTTAGTGATCTGCCGCGTCACATTTAGGAGTACCAAAACAATATTTATTGTTTGAATTTCGTAAAAAAAATTGACATCATTTGAAAGCTGAGACTATTTCAAATCAAAACTAACCTTTTCTGTCAGTGTACTCTTGTGTGGCGTGAGAGCCTGAGAACAGTGACAATTGCACCAGTTGTCAGCCCTGCGAACATAACACTTCCCATATTCCACACCCAGTTGAGACCCACTGCTGTAAACCATTTCCTTCTTTTGTTTTTAACCAAATTTGTCTTGTTTTTTGTTTTGAGCAGAAGGTCCCTCAATACACCCTGATCATTCAGGCTACCGATATGGAGGGAGACCCCACATATGGTCTGTCCAACACCGCCACTGCTGTCATACGCCTGCTGGAAACCATCCAAAAAAAGGTACTATCTGTAGCTGAAATACATGACCATAACTATAAATTATTATATTGTCACAGCGTGGCCGTAGATTCATGTTTGTTTTAATGAATTTGAATTACCATTCAAAATGTTGGGGTTTGTACAATTTTTGTAATGTTTCTTATGCTTTTCAAGGATGCTAGCCTGGAAAAACCCAGACAACTTCCGGCAAATTTAGATTTGCTCTGCAAGTTAGTCCAGCAAGCCCATTCAAGCCCATTTCTAATCCGACGATATCGCGGCACCAATCGGAAACGTTGGAGCGGGCTTTACACGATGACGACAGCACAGCGACAGAACTAGGCGTGTGACGGTTATAGTTGAACACCGTCGTTAGAACTCTATTGCCGGCTGTATTTTTTTCACAAACATTTTTTATCATAGAAAATGTTTAAATACTAATATCAGCTTACGAGGGAGGCGGAGTTAGTGGTGCTACTTTTGGAGATGATTCAATAGAGGTCTATGCACCCCCTCACAAGAAGAGAAATCTTGGTCTGAAGTCTGAAGTATTGTTTATACTTGACGCATCCGCACGAGGGCGAAAATGTGTGCAGCAAAAATGACACAGTCGGTGTGCAAAACCCCATTTCGCTTGTGTGCACAGGTTTATTTGTAACAGTGCGCGCGGCGCCGCGTCCGTGTATGAACAACGAGTATGAACGACTTCAAGCCAAATCTGCCCGAGCCCGTAGCTTTAAGTGCACCGGCACACAGTTAGCTAAATTGCTAAGTTCATTGCAAAGATTTTTTTGCTAAGGTTGTGTTTACTGTGTGTGATTTATTTAATGGAAAGCACATTCACTTCTAGTTGTCTTTGAAAAAAACGTTGAGCAAGCAAGTTGCCCCGGGGCCGGGGCAAAAGTTGCATGTGCTGCAGTGTGTGTGGGTGTGTGCGCATCACCTAATATACATTGACCGTGTGGGTGTTTTTGAATCTAACTGTTGTTCTTTTCGTCGTTTTTTTTTTTTCCTTTGCCAGGTGCCAGTGATACCGTTTCCGCGGCACAGTGTGGTTGTCAAGGATGACGGCAGTGTGAATCGCGTGAAAAGAGAGTGGGTCATTCCTCCTGTCAACGTGCTTGAGAACTCCAAAAAACAATTCCCTGAAGAGCTTGTGAAAGTGAGTGTGTACACGATGAAAAACATCATTGGTTCATCATGTGAAGTGTAGTCGAAAAAGTATGATAAAAATAAACGATAATTCATTCATTGCTTGCTATTTATTGAGTTTCTATCATGCATGGAATTTAATTTTATGTTTATCTTGTGTGTGTGTTTTTCAGATCCAGTCGGATAAGGGCAAGAGTAACAGAATTCTCTATGACGTGACTGGACCAGGAGCCGACCAAAACCCCACCGACCTGTTTATCATCGACGCCATTTCAGGAATCCTGTCCGTCACCAAACCACTGGACAGAGAACACACCCCCTACTTCAATGTAAGTGTGTGTGTGTGTGTGTGTGTGTGTGTGTGTTCATGACTCCATGTCCTGAGATGTCATGTCAAACTTTTGAGTAGATTTCATCCTAAAAAAAAAACAGATTATTCAAACAAACTAAATTATTCAATTTTTTATTCAGGGCATTCCCTAAATCTGGCTTTTCCTAAGTAAGAACAATCCTCAATCTCCCCTGGAAGTAGTTTCAAACTTTTTCTGCCTGGTTTCAATACCCTTTCACTTTACTACTGGACCCGAGAGGCTGTTAACCTCCCCCAGTGTCTACCTAATCCACATTCAGATACAAATTATGCAGAGATTACATGAATATGAAATGATTTGCTTCCTAATGGTGCCAAAGGTGGAGCATCAGGCTTCCTTCGGATAGCTCATGCATACATACAGCAGACTTAAAACTGCTCTAGCACACAAACTGCAACCAAGTCAGCTACAGCAGTTGGTTAACTCCAATAACCACTGTAAATGAGTGTGGCGGTTATTAGCCTCTTTTACACTGACAGTGTGTCTGTACTACCATTGATGTTACAGTTTTGCTCAGTTGGCTGCTGAAAATGTGTGAATTGAGTACTGTAAATGTCTTCTCTGGCTCAAAATGGCATAAAGACACTGAAAATACTGTGGAGGTTCAGTGTCAAAACTCGTTAGAATGCAAACGTGATTCAGAGGCTAATTAACTTCATGCATCCCATAGCATAGTTAGTTAGTAAGATTCAGATGCTTTTATTCAGCAAGTACATATTCAAAGGATCAAAGTTAACAATAATGTTAAAAAAAATTAAATGCACATCATCATATTATAGTGATTTCTGAAGGATCATGTGACACTGAAGACTGGAGTAATGTCTGATAATTCAGCTTTGCCATCACGGGAATTAATGACATTTTAAAATATATTGAAATAGAAAATATCACCTTTTAAAGGGTGAAAATTCTGTCAGTATTTACTCACCTTCATGTTGTTCCAAACCTCTGTGTTTATTTGTTCTGTTATACACAAAGGAAGATATTTGGAAGAATGTTATAATCAAACAGATCTCATTCCCCATTGACTACCATAGTATGTATTTTTTACTATGGTAGTCGATGGGGAATGAGATCTGTTTGATTAAAACATTCTTCCAAATATCTTCCTTTGTGTTCAGCAGAACTAATAAACACATAAAGGTTTGGAACAACATGAGGGTGAGTAAATACTGACAGAATTTTCATTTTTGGGTGAACTAACCCTTTAATTGTAATCATAATTCACAATCGCAATAGTTCTGTTTTTATTTCGTTTTGTCAAATAAATGCAGCCTTGGTGAATCTTACCAATTCCCAAATTTTGAACTGTGGTGTATATTCATATGAAAATAACAGTGAAAGTAGTTGTTTTTATAGCTGCTCAGATGTAGACGTGTGTTGATTGGTTCAGCTTTTGCTTTCATGAAGAGTTTCCATGTAAACTGTGACTTTAAATGTGTGTTTGCGTTCACAGCTACGTGCTCATGTCGTGGACACCAATGGGAACCAGATGGAGAACCCCATTGACATCATCATCAAAGTCATCGATATGAACGACAACCGGCCCGAGTTCGCACACCAGATCTGGAACGGAACCGTGGATGAGGGCGCCAAACCAGGTACACACACACACACACACGCATTCACGCTTTTGACACAGTTTATGACACGCCTTCCTCAATGATGTGAAAACTGACATTTATTGCACGGTTCTAGGTACATTTGTAATGACGGTGACCTCCCAGGATAAGGATGACCCAAATACAGCCAATGGGATGCTCAGATACAAGATCCTCTCCCAGACCCCGGAGAGCCCCTCCTCCAATATGTTCACTATCAACGACAAGACCGGCGAAATCATCACTGTAGCTGCTGGCCTGGACCGTGAGGTACAAGGATTTTTGTTCTAGTGGAAAGTCAAAAATATACTACAACCAGTTTTATTATTAATGTAGTATTTCTAATTTTTTTTTTTATTCAAGTTTAAGTAATTGTGTGCTTTTTTCTCTTTAAACTATTTCTTTTTAGCTGTAATGCATTTTTTTATTTCAGTTTTGTTAGTAATTCTAGTACTTTTTTTATTTCAGGTAGTTGTTGAAACAGCATTTTTTTAAAGTTTGTTTTTCATCAAATATAGCTTATATAATTTTATTTTAGCTTAATTTCAATTACTGAAAATTATTTTTAATAGGTTTAATTAACAGTAACAACATTGTTTTCATCTGGTGGGTTGGAACCCAAAAACAATGGGCCGCTTATCTGGTCTAATGCGGTTAAATAATAAGATGCAAACACAGGGCTGCCAACTTTTGAGTTTAGCTTGGAGTGAGAATTATGGAGGGGGATGGTTTTGGGTTTGGGGTGTTGTAAAAAAAATATATATATTTTCAAAACATGGTTACTAAATATTATTTCAAAACATTTAGTGACAACATTACAATGTTTACATGGTACAATGACTGGTAGGCTACTGTTTTTATTAGTCCTTGACAAATTTCATGATTTCAATTCATACAATTGAGATTTATATAAATCAGTACACTAGCTATATGCAATTTTTTTTTTTTTTTTTTTTTAAGGAAAAAATCTCTCAACTAATGCTGTAAACATGCAGGGAGCCCTGTCAGCTGGTATTATTATTAGAGGCAATACAATATTAAATTAATATAATGCGTTTTTTTTTTTTTTTTTTTATAATAATAACGTTAGAATAATTTTACTTATGCTATGGTCATTAAATGGCTTTCCTGAGGTAAATGTAACGTTACGTGACATTGTTCTCCAGCTTTATTATAGACCTCTTTCTGCAGTTTAAACAATGATTGAGTGATTACATGAGACATTTCAGTAAGTTATACTGCATCTTTTAACATACTTTCTAATGTTCATTTGTTTTTATTTACTATTAACTAATAGTAAAGAGGAAGAGATGATCAGTTCACATCCACTTGAACTTAGTGATCTGCCGCGTCACATTTAGGAGTACCAAAACAATATTTATTGTTTGAATTTCGTAAAAAAAATTGACATCATTTGAAAGCTGAGACTATTTCAAATCAAAACTAACCTTTTCTGTCAGTGTACTCTTGTGTGGCGTGAGAGCCTGAGAACAGTGACAATTGCACCAGTTGTCAGCCCTGCGAACATAACACTTCCCATATTCCACACCCAGTTGAGACCCACTGCTGTAAACCATTTCCTTCTTTTGTTTTTAACCAAATTTGTCTTGTTTTTTGTTTTGAGCAGAAGGTCCCTCAATACACCCTGATCATTCAGGCTACCGATATGGAGGGAGACCCCACATATGGTCTGTCCAACACCGCCACTGCTGTCATACGCCTGCTGGAAACCATCCAAAAAAAGGTACTATCTGTAGCTGAAATACATGACCATAACTATAAATTATTATATTGTCACAGCGTGGCCGTAGATTCATGTTTGTTTTAATGAATTCGAATTACCATTCAAAATGTTGGGGTTTGTACAATTTTTGTAATGTTTCTTATGCTTTTCAAGGATGCTAGCCTGGAAAAACCCAGACAACTTCCGGCAAATTTAGATTTGCTCTGCAAGTTAGTCCAGCAAGCCCATTCAAGCCCATTTCTAATCCGACGATATCGCGGCACCAATCAGAAACGTTGGAGCGGGCTTTACACGATTACGACAGCACAGCGACAGAACTAGGCGTGTGACGGTTATAGTTGAACACCGTCATTAGAACTCTATTGCCGGCTCTATTTTTTTCACAAACATTTTTATCATAGAAAATGTTTAAATACTAATATCAGCTTACGAGGGAGGCGGAGTTAGTGGTGCTACTTTTGGAGATGATTCAATAGAGGTCTATGCACCCCCTCACAAGAAGAGAAATCTTGGAGATCTCCTTAATAAACTGAGGTCTGAAGTCTGAAGTATTGTTTATACTTGACGCATCCGCACGAGGGTGAAAATGCGTGCAGCAAAAATGACATATTCGGTGTGCAAAACCCCATTTCGCTTGTGTGCACAGGTTTATTTGTAACAGTGGGCGTGGCGCCGCGTCCGAGTATGAACGACTTCAAGCCAAATCTGCCCGAGCACGTAGCTTTACGTGCACCGGCACACAGTTAGCTATATTGGAAAGTTCATTGCAAAGATTTTTTTGCTAAGGTTGTGTTTACTGTGTGTGATTTATTTAATGGAAAGCATATTCACTTCTAGTTGTCTTGCTGTTCATTTTAAATTAACGTTGAGCAAGTAGCTAATCAGTGTCTGCTCGTTTATTCAAACTAATTTGTTCTATAACAGACAAACGTCGCTCTGCATACGTCATCTCCTTTATTGCTCTGATTGGATTTAGGTCTATCCAATTGCGCCCAAAAGCATTTAAGCTACGTCCTTTGGTGACGCCCCTTTGAAATGATTTGTCTAGGAAGCTTTCCCAGACCTTAACTGAGTTACAACTGACTGAGAATGGTCTGGTTTGAACCAGGCTACAAGGATGCATTTATTTGATAAAAAATACAGTATAAGCAGTAATATTGTGAAATATTATTACAATTTTAAACAACTGTTTTCTATTTTAATGTTTATTTAAATGTAATGTATTAGTGTGTTCAAAGCTGAATTTTCAGCATCATTACTCTAGTCTTCAGTGTCACATGATCCTTCAGAAATCATTATAATATGCTGATTTGATGCTCAAGAAACATTTCTTATTATCAACGTTGAAAGCAGTTGTGCTTTAATGCATCCTTGTTGAATAAAAGTATTCATTTATTTTATTTTTTTAATAATAATCTTACTGACCCCAAACTTTTAAATAGGTGATGTAGATAAATATAGCTGTTTATCATTATTGTTGTGGAAATTCTGCACCTAGATCTTAAATAACAATTAAAAGACAAATGAAGATCTCGAAAGTCAAAAGTGTATTTATTTCTTGCAAGAAAGGCAGTTCACACACAGACAGAGTCTGATATGAGAAGGGCCAAGATCTTCTCATTTTACAGACCTTATATAGGATGGATCATCCTCCAAAATGTACCGCTCCCCTTCTTATCTTCAGACCAAGGCCCAGTTCCGCACAGTTCTCAGTTCCGTATATTCTAACACCTCTCATCTATGTATACCCACACGTTAAACACAGATGTCACTTCAAAAACAACTAAATACATGTAAATACATGTTTTGCTCTTGGTGCAAGCAAGCTTATCTATTTTTGAGAAGAACAGAACATTCTGTCCTTTTACTAACGTCCCATTTGTATAAGGGATAATGCATCTTGCAGTTTCTTTAGCATCTTTATATTTTAAAGAACACACAAACAAATATATGTTTCAATAAAATTTTCTATTACACTATGTATTCATTTATTGGTGGATTTGAATGAAAATGATTACATTCAGGGTTCCAATGATCCTGAAAAACATGGAAATATCAAGAATTTAATATTCCCCAAAAATCTAAAGTCTTTCCAGGCCTCTATAAATCATGCCAATAAATACAAATTAATCAAATCTTAAAACGCTGTGACAATATAATTATTTATAGTTATGGTCATGTATTTCAGCTACAGATGGCTCGATAAAGTGCAAACTCAATAGAAATCCTATCAAGTATTCATACAAATGGCTAATTCATGGGTAAGTCATAGAAATTCATTGTCCAGAAAGAATAGGAACACTTTATCCATCACTCTTGTGTTGATTTAGTTAAAAAATAAAACTCAAAAAGCATGCCTTATTTTTAAAGTAGATATTTATTGTTTTTACTCTCATTAAACATTTGGATTTTCATTGAATATGATTAAAAGCCCAGCCCTAGTTTATACAGCTAGAGATAACAGATAGAAAGGCGATTAATGTGGAATGAGAGGGAAAATAGGAGATATGAAAAAAAAACGAGAACGACCTGGGGTGAAAGATGTTTTTCCATCAGTTCTGTCAATGTTTATGTTGTCGGTTTGTTCATTTGGAGAGATTGTGAGACTGTGAGTAGATACAAGTGTAATGAGTTAACTCATCATTACCTGAGTCATAGCAGCGAGAGAGAAAAACGAGAGAATCTGTCTCCCTCCTTCAACACCGAACTGCCGCCCGCCCCATGGCACTGTCATTACTGGCAATATTTCACCACCGGGAGGAAAAGAGAGAAGATAGGTCAAGAGAAAGGGAGGCTTAGTTGATATCAACTGAGTCGCTTTATACTGTAAGCTAACGCCCTGTGAGATTTTGTATTTGCGTAAAGAAATTAGTCGTTGTATTGTGTTGTTAGTTGGAAATAAACTCTTAATTGAACACTCAGGGGTTTTTGTTCTGTTTAACAATAAGATCAGGGCAAATGTCTGGTCAAGCACACCTCGGGCAGCCTTTGGCTCTGAATAACAAGGCTCATGGAGAAATGAAGTGGAACAATACTGCAAGCTCGACACACACTTTCATATTCACTATGTGGGTGTTACTGCTCTGGGAGTTAACGATGGAGCAGCAGTGATATTTATGACCCCATTACAGAGGGTAAAATTAATTCTGTAATTATTCGGGGCCGGGGCAAAAGTGTTGCATGTGCTGCAGTGTGTGTGCGCATCACCTGATATACATTGACCGTGTGGGTGTTTTTGAATCTAACTGTTGTTCTTTTCGTCGTTTTTTTTTTTTTCCTTTGCCAGGTGCCAGTGATACCGTTTCCGCGGCACAGTGTGGTTGTCAAGGATGACGGCAGTGTGAATCGCGTGAAAAGAGACTGGGTCATTCCTCCTGTCAACGTGCTTGAGAACTCCAGAAAACAATTTCCTGAAGAGCTTGTGAAAGTGAGTGTGTACACGATGAAAAACATCATTGGTTCATCATGTGAAGTGTATTCGAAAAAGTATCATAAAAATAAACGGTAATTCATTCATTGCTTGCTATTCATTGAGTTGCTATCGTGCATGGAATTTAATTTTATGTTTATCTTGTGTGTGTGTTTTTCAGATCCAGTCGGATAAGGGCAAGAGTAACGCACTGCGCTATTGCGTGACCGGACCAGGAGCCGACGAAAACCCCACCGGCCTGTTTATCATCGACGCCATTTCAGGAATCCTGTCCGTCACCAAACCACTGGACAGAGAACACACCCCCTACTTCAATGTAAGTGTGTGTGTGTTCATGACTCCATGTCCTGAGATGTCATGTCAAACTTTTGAGTAGATTTCATCCTAAAAAAAAAAATTGATTATGCAAACAAACAAAATTATTCAGATTAATCAAACCGTATGAATGATTGTACAAGATTTCCTTTATAAATATGTAAGGCTGCCACCGACTAAAGAATATTCTAGTTGACTATTAGTCGGTTATTTAAGCCATTAGCCGATTAGTCCGGCATTTATCATATTAATTTAAGTACTTAAAAATGTATGAATATGGTTTCAGATTCAGGGTTGAGAATAAACAATATAGAATTGTTCTACATTAGAGAAAAATTCTAAACCATAATAATGAGCATTTAAATATGAATTAAGCACAATTGTTCAGTTCATTATTTGGCCACAGGAGTCGCCAAATTGCCCGGTAAAAAAGTGGATTTATTATTAAAATTCACTGTAAAGTTTGTGCACTTTTCAATGCCGTTTCTTGCATACACAATGTTTAAACATCAGGCCTTTGGTCTTTAGATCTGTGTATTCCATCCAGGACAGAGAGAAGCCCTCTAAAACTCCCAATAAATGACATGTGTCATAGTTACCATGGCAGCCAGTCTGAGAATGTGACCTTTGACTTCCCTCTAATCCACTGTACCGTGAAGAGGAGAGCAGGCAAAATTAAACTCTGGAGGAGCTTATCTTAACACTAGGGGGGCATTCCCTAAATCTGGCTTTTTTTATCTAAGTAAGAACAATCCTCAATCTCCTCTGGAAGTAGTTTCAAACTTTTTCTGCCTGGTTTCAATACCCTTTCACTTTACTACTGGACCCAAGAGGCTGTTAACCTCCCCCAGTGTCTACCTAATCCACATTCAGATTCAAATTATGCAGAGATTACATGAATATGAAATGATTTGCTTCCTAATGGTGCCAAAGGTGGAGCATCAGGCTTCCTTCGGATAGCTCATGCATATAGCAGACTTAAAACTGCTCTAGCACACAAACTGCAACCAAGTCAGCTACAGCAGTTGGTTAACTCCAATAACCACTGTAAATGAGTGTGGCGGTTATTAGCCTCTTTTACACTGACAGTGTGTCTGTACTACCATTGATGTTACAGTTTTGCTCAGTTGGCTGCCGAAAATGTGTGAATTGAGTACTGTAAATGTCTTCTCTGTCTCAAAATGGCATAAAGACACTGAAAATACTGTGGAGGTTCAGTGTCAAAACTCGTTAGAATGCAAACACTGATTCAGAGGCTAATTAACTTCATGCATCCCATAGCATAGCTAGTTAGTTAGTAAGATTCAGATGCTTTTATTCAGCAAGTACATATTCAAAGGATCAAAGTTAACGCACATCATCATATTATAGTGATGATTTCTGAAGGATCATGTGACACTGAAGACTGGAGTAATGATGCTGATAATTCAGATTTGCCATCACGGGAATTAATGACATTTTAAAATATATTGAAATAGAAAATATCACCTTTTAAAGGGTTTGTTCACCCAAAAATGATTTGGTTTGGAACAACATGAGGGTGAGTAAATGCTGACAGAATTTTCATTTTTGGGTGAACTAACCCTTTAAATTCTAATTCACAATCGCAATAGTTCTGTTTTTACTTCATTTTGTCAAATAAATGCAGCCTTGGTGAATCTTACCAATCCCCAAATTTTGAACTGTGGTGTATATTCATTATGAAAATAACAGTGAAAGTAGTTGTTTTTATATAGCTGCTCAGATGTAGACTTGTGTGTTGATTGGTTCAGCTTTTGCTTTCATGAAGAGTTTCCATGTAAACTGTGACTTTAAATGTGTGTTTGCGTTCACAGCTACGTGCTCATGTCGTGGACACCAATGGGAACCAGATGGAGAACCCCATTGACATCATCATCAAAGTCATCGATATGAACGACAACCGGCCCGAGTTCGCACACCAGATCTGGAACGGAACCGTGGATGAGGGCGCCAAACCAGGTACACACACACACACACACGCATTCACGCTTTTGACACAGTTTATGACACGCCTTCCTCAATGATGTGAAAACTGACATTTATTGCACGGTTCTAGGTACATTTGTAATGACGGTGACCTCCCAGGATAAGGATGACCCAAATACAGCCAATGGGATGCTCAGATACAAGATCCTCTCCCAGACCCCGGAGAGCCCCTCCTCCAATATGTTCACTATCAACGACAAGACCGGCGAAATCATCACTGTAGCTGCTGGCCTGGACCGTGAGGTACGAGGAAATTTGTTCTAGTGGAAAGTCAAAAAATATACTCTAACCAGTTTTATTATTAATGTAGTATTTCTAAATCTCTTAAATTATCTTTTACTTGTTTATTTTAATTTAAGTTTAAATGCCTTGGGGCTGCGGAATTTGCATAGCGTATGGGTATAAAAGGAGGAAGTGAACGCAACCGCAGTATGTCTTCGCTGAGGAGCCAAGGCTGAACTCCAGCGTCTAGCCAGCGATACAGCCGAAGTGGCAGGGAGACGTAACGTCTCCGTTCCCTACTCAGGGAACGAGGGTTGCATCCGTAACCGAGACGTTCCCTTTCGTAGTCACTTCGAGTTACGTCAGAAGTGACGGAGAATGGGGGTCAGTGCCATCACGCCATCTTCAAGCTGACTTCCAGTGCCCTGCGAAAGTCTGGACCCCTGAACCCTTTTTTTTTTTTTTTTTTTTTTAACCAGGGAACCCACTTTGACACAGGAATACCAAGGTACACTGGGAAACATAACCCGGGAGGGACATGCTACCAGATGCCTACCATAGGGAGGACTTACGAATACACATATGGTCGCATAGGGACGCATATGGAAATCACTGGAGCACCAACCGCAGGTGGCTACTAGAATTTTAACTCCAGGGGTGGCAGATGGCTTGCCAAGGGAAGACACATGCTCAGAGAGGCTTACAGTGGATAATACACATGAGACAGTTACCATAGGGAACCGTGCACATGGAGGCACCTAGCCAGCATCCAGAGCAACAGCAGTGGTGCCCGCATCGTCGGTGAGGAAAATCGCACTTATCCAATCCGAGGAGTGGAATGGCAAGCAAGCGAAGACACCTAAGCGGGTCCAGTACTGGCGGAAGCGAGTACGTGAGAGGACACCGGCTCAATTGGCAGATTATAGAATCTCGCGAAGGTGTTTGGTGTCGCCCAGCCTGCAGCTCTGCAAATGTCTGTTAGCGAGGCGCCGTGCGCTAGAGCCCAAGAGGAGGCCACACTCCGAGTGGAATGGGCCGTCACACCAAGGGGGCACGGATGGCCTTGCTGCTGGTAAGGCAAAGCAATGGCGTCCACTATCCAGTGAGACAGCCGTTGCTTTGAGAGAGCCCTTCCCTTCTGGCTCCCCCCATGACAGACAAAGAGCTGGTCTGAGGTCCTGAAACACCGTGTTCTGTCAACGTAGGTGCGGAGAGCACGTACCGGACAGAGCAGTGCCAAGGCTGGGTCTGCCTCCTCCAAGGGCAGCGCTTGCAGGTTCACCACCTGGTCCCGGAAGGGAGTGGTGGGAACCTTGGGCACGTATCCAGGCCGGGGTCTCAGGATCACGTGAGAGTAAGCCGGCCCGAACTCCAGGCACGCTTCGTCAACGGAGAATGCGTGCAGGTCCCCCACCCTCTTGAAGGAGGCCAGTGCAACCAGGAGAGCCGTCTTCATGGACAGAAACTTTAACTCTACCGATTGCAAAGGCTCAAAGGGAGGCCTCTGCAGAGCACTTAGAACTACTGAGAGGTCCCAAGAGGGTACGAGGGGAGGACGAGGCGGATGCAGCCTCCTCGCTCCCCTCAGGAACCTAATGACCAGGTCGTGCTTCCCTAAGGACTTACCTTCTACTGCTTCATGAGAGGCGGCAATGGCCGCGACGTAAACCTTAAGGGTGGAGGGCGACAGCCTGCGCTCCAACCCTTCTTGCAGGAAGGAAAGCACGACACTGATCGAACATCTCCGGGGGTCTTCTCCGCGAGAAGAGCACCAGCTGACGAAGAGTTTCCACTTCAACGCGTAAAGGTGTCTCATGGACGACGCTCTAACGGAAGTGATGGTTGCCGGCACCGCAGGTGGCAGCGAACTCAAACCTGCCACAGAGTGCCCTGTCTCTGAGTGAGTAGATCTTGTCTCAGAGGAATAGGCCAAGGAGGTGCTGTCGCAAGGAGCATGAGTTCGGAGAACCACGTCTTGGTGGGCCAATAGGGGGCTACCAGCAAGACCAGCTCCTCGTCCTCCTTGATCTTGCACAACACCCGTGCAAGGAGGCTCACTGGGGGAAATGCATACTTGCGTGGGCCCCGCGGCCAGCTCTGCGCCAGTGCATCTGTGCCGAGCGTACCCTCGGTCAGGGAATAAAACTGGGCGCAGTGGGATGAGTCCCGGGAGGCGAACAGATCTATCTGTGCCTTCCCGAACTGGTCCCAAATCAGCTGGACCGTCTGGGGATGGAGTCGCCATTCGCCGGAGGTAAGGCGGACCCGTGACAGCTCGTCGGCTGCCAGGTTCTGGTCTCCTGGAATGTACACTGCACGAAGGGACCTCAGGTGCTTCTGACTCCATAGCAAGAGGTGGCGGGCGAGCTGCGACAACCGGCGTGAGCGTAGACCCCCCCTGGTGGTTGATGTACGCTACTGCAGTGGTGTTGTCTGAACGGACAAGTACATGTTGACCCCTGAGCAGCGCTCGAAAGCGGTGCAGGGCCAGGCGTACTGCCAGCAGCTCGAGGCAATTGATGTGCATGAGGCGCTGGGGTCCTGTCCAGGAACCCGCGGCTGCATGCACATGGCACCCCAACCTGTGGTAGATGCATCCGTGGAGACAACGAGATGTCTGGAAACTCGCTGAAGAGGGACACCGGCCCGTAAAAAGCTGAGGTTCGACCACGGGAAGAAGGTTCGGACGGCACGCTGGAGTCACTGGAACTCGGAGCGAGCCGCGATGCCATGCCCACCTCGGGACTCGATCGCAAAGCCACAGCTGAAGCGGTCTCATATGAACCAAACCGAGCGGCGTTGCCACAGATGCCATATGCCCCAGGAGCCTCTGAAACAGTTTCAGTGGAACCGCACTCTTGCCCTCGAACTGTCGAAGACAAGTCAGCAGTGAGTGCACGCGCTCGCTCGTGAGCTGCGCGGACATGGCGACAGAGTCTATCTCCATGCCGAGAAAAGAGATCCTCTGCACGGGGCAAAGTTTGCTCTTTTCCCGGTTGACCCGAAGGCCCAGACGGGCTAGGTGCCGGAGCACCAGGTCTCTGTGTTCGCAAACCTGTTCTCAAGAATGTGCCAGTATCAGCCAGTTGTTGAGATAGTTCAGGATGCAAACCCCGTGTTCGCGAAGGGGAACAAGGGCTGCCTCGACGATCTTTGTGAAGACGCGAGGGAACAGAGCTAACCACACGCTCCCTTCCGCACCCTCAGAGACAGAGAGGAATGAGTGGGCTGACGCACTGGGACGTCGAGCGCACTCATTCCTGTCTGTGTGCTCAGTGATTATGTCAAGTCTTTCTTTAACCAACTCAGGGTACTGCCCACCCGTGGGTGAGCAGCGGGGAGCTGAGAACAAAAGATTCTCCCCCGGCCCTCCACCGGGGGAAGGAGGGGGCCTGCTACCACCTCCTGGGAAACACTCGACTTCATCACTGAGCAGCCCGTCTCAGGAGCGTCGCTTAGCCTGGCGTTTAGCGGGGCGTGCGGCCTGAGGGGCCTGAGACGCATGCCTGCGGCCTCCTCCACGCCGCGACCCGGATGAAGGCTGCTGCTGGGGCCGCGTGGGAGGGAGGGGAGCTGCAGGGGGCGTCCTCGGCGGCGAGCAGGGGGAGGCGTCTGTACCGACGGCTGGGTGGAGGCAGCAGCTGGCCGTCGGGGCAGAATATGTTTGATCGCCTCCGTCTGCTTCTGGGCAGTTGAGAACTGCTGGGCAAAGTCCTCGACTGCACCGCCGAAAAGGCCAACCTGGGAGAGCGGGGCGTCGAGCAGACGAGTCCGCTCGGCATCCCGTGTGTCTGCCAGGTTAAGCCAGAGATGGCGCTCCTGGACCACGCTAGTGGCCATCACCTGACCAACGGAGCGAGCGGCCACCTTCGTCGACCGGAGGGCAAGGTCTGTGGCGGCTCGCAGTTCATTAAAGGCTGTTTGGTCAGTCCCCCCCTCGTGCATATCTCTGAGCAGTTTGGCTTGGAAAACCTGCAAAGTGCTCATCGCGTGCAGGGCGGAGGCCGCCTGTCCCGCCGCTCTATAGGAACGCGTCGCCATAGCAGACGAGAACCTACAGGCTTTGGATGGGTGCTTAGGAGGACCACGGTAGGAGGCGCTCTGTGGACACAGCTGCATCGCAACAGAGCGCTCCACCGGGTGCATCCCAGTGTACCCACGGGCGGCCCCACCATCGAGGGGAGGAAAGGCGGGGGAGGCTAGAGCGCGCTCTCGGGAGGACAAAGGAGCCTTCCAAGTGCGCGTCAGCTCCGCATGCAGCTCGGGGAAAAAGGGTATTGGGGTCGGCTGTGGCCTTGCGGCGGCAGCCTTGCCCAAAAACCAATTATCCATCCGTGAGAGATCGGGGCAGGGCGGAGGGTTCCACTCTAACCCGATACTCACGGCGGCCCGAGATAGCATGGCCGTTAACTCGGGATCAGACACGGGCAACGCTGGCACTCCCGAGGGAGGCAACGCAGCCGCATCCTCATCTCCCGAGGAATCAAGCCCGCCCTGTGATGCTGCGATCGACATCGCATCATCCTCTGGAGCGCCGAACGAAACAGACGGTACCTGCGAAGAGGCCTGAAAACAGTGACAATTGCGTCAGTTGTCTGCCCTGCGAACATAACACTTCCCATATTCCACATCCTGTTGAGACCCACTGCTGTAAACCATTTCCTTCTTTTGTTTTTAACCCAATTTTTCTTGTTTTTTGTTTTAAGCAGAAGGTCCCTCAATACACCCTGATCATTCAGGCTACCGATATGGAGGGAAACCCCACATATGGTCTGTCCAACACCGCCACTGCTGTCATACGCCTGCTGGATGTCAATGACAACGCTCTGGAGTTCACCCGAGAGACTGTGAGTGGCACATACACACAGACACTTGAACACGTGTCTCGCGAAAGCCATCTTTGCTTTTGCCTTTTGGGAAGGAGGATGAGAGCGGATAAAGGCCAAGATGGTCGAGGAGGCAAAGGAGGAGAGGGTGAAGGGTGGGCAGTCATAATATATTACCCATGAGTTTGCTGGTGATGTTAAAACCAAGCAACACTGGAAATACGGTCATTTTAAAGAGCTTTTAATTTGGCCATTACGTTTTCTAAAGAAGGTGTCATTGAACCAGTTTTGCAACTAGCCTTCCTCCTTATCTTGTAAGATGGTTTAATTACATCTCTGATTTAAAGAAAGTAGAAAAAGGTACCATCTGTAGCTGAAATACATGACCATAACTATAAATAATTATATTTCCACAGCGTGGCGGTTGATTCATGTTTGTTTTAATAAATTCGAATTACCATTCAAAATGTTGGGGGTTGTACAATTTTTTGTAATGATTCTTATGCGTTTCAAGGATGCTAGCCTGGAAAAACCCAGACAACTTCCGGCAAATTTAGATTTGCTCTGCAAGTTAGTCCAGCAAGCCCATTTCTAATCCGACGATATCGCGGCACCAATCAGAAACGTTGGAGTGGGCTTTACACGATGACGACAGCACACCGACAGAACTAGGGGTGTGACGGTTATAGTTGAACACCGTCGTTAGAACTCTATTACCGGCAAAACCATGTTATTAAAATATTTTTTTCACAAACATTTTTTATCATAGAAAATGTTTAAATACTAATATCAGCTTACAAGGGAAGCGGAGTTAGTGGTGCTTTGGAGCCTGCTACTTTTGGAGATGATTCAATAGAGGTCTATGCACCCCCTCACAAGAAGAGAAATCTTGGAGATCTTCTTAATAAACAGAGGTCTGAAGTCTGAAGTATTGTTAATACTTGACGCATCCGCAAGAGGGCGAAAATGCGTGCAGCAAAAATGACATATTCGGTGTGCAAAACCCCATTTCGCTTGTGTGCACAGGTTTATTTGTAAAGCCCGTAGCTTTACGTGCACCGGCACACAGTTAGCTAAATTGCAAAGTTCATTGCAAAGATTTGTTTGCTAAGGTTGTGTTTACTGTGTGTGATTTATTTAATGGAAAGCACATTCACTTTTAGTTGTCTTGCTGTTAATTTTAAATAAACGTTGAGCAAGTAGCTAATCAGTGTCTGCTCGTTTATTCAAACTAAGTTGTTCTATAACAGACAAACGTCGCTCTGCATACGTCATCTCCTTTATTGCTCTGATTGGATTTAGGTCTATCCAATTGCGCCCAAAAGCATTTAAGCTACGTCCTTTGGTGACGCCCCTTTGAAATGATTTGTCTAGGAAGCTTTCCCAGACCTTAACTGAGTTACAACTGACTGAGAATGGTCTGGTTTGAACCAGGCTACAAGGATGCATTTATTTGATCAAAAATACAGTATAAGCAGTAATATTGTGAAATATTATTACAACAACTATATCTATTTTAATGTTTATTTAAATGTAATGTATTAGTGTGTTCAAAACTGAATTTTCAGCATCATTACTCTAGTCTTCAGTGTCACATGATCCTTCAAAAATCATTATAATATGCTGATCTGATGCTCAAGAAACATTTCTTATTATCAACGTTGAAAGCAGTTGTGCTTTAATGCATCCTTGTTGAATAAAAGTATTCATTTATTTTATTTTTTTAATAATAATCTTACTGACCCCAAACTTTTAAATAGGTGATGTAGATAAATATAGCTGTTTATCATTATTGTTGTGGAAATTCTGCACCTAGATCTTAAATAACAATTAAAAGACAAATGAAGATCTCGAAAGTCAAAAGTGTATTTATTTCTTGCAAGAAAGGCAGTTCACACACAGACAGAGTCTGATATGAGAAGGGCCAAGATCTTCTCATTTTACAGACCTTATATAGGATGGATCATCCTCCAAAATGTACCGCTCCCCTTCTTATCTTCAGACCAAGGCCCAGTTCCGCACAGTTCTCAGTTCCGTATATTCTAACACCTCTCATCTATGTATACCCACACGTTAAACACAGATTTCATTTCAAAAACAACTAAATACATGTAAATACATTGCTCTTGGTGCAAGCAAGCTTATCTATTTTTGAGAAGAACAGAACATTCTGTCCTTTTACAAACGTCCCATTTGTATAAGGGATAATGCATCTTGCAGTTTCTTTAGCATATTTATATTTTAAAGAACACACAAACAAATGTATGTTTCAAGAGATACATTGAAAATAAAATAATTTTCTATTACACTATGTATTCATTTATTGGTGGATTTGAATGAAAATGATTACATTCAGGGTACCAATGATCCTGAAAAACATGGAAATATCAAGAATTTAATATTCCCCAAAAATCTAAAGTCTTTCCAGGCCTCTATGAATCATGGAAATAAATACAAATTAATCAAATCTTAAAACGCTGTGACAATATAATTATTTATAGTTATGGTCATGTATTTCAGCTACAGATGGCTCGATAAAGTGCAAGCTTGATAGAAATCCTATCAAGTATTCATACAAATGGCTAATTCATGGGTAAGTCATAGAAATTCATTGTCCAGAAAGAATAGGGACACTTTATCCATCACTCTTGTGTTGATTTAGTAAAAAAAAATAAAACTGGAAAAGCATGCTTTATTTGTAAAGTAGATATTTATTGTTTTTACTCTCATTAAACATTTGGATTTTCATTGAACATGATTCAAAGCCCAGCCCTAGTTTATACAGCTAGAGATAACAGATAGAAAGGCGATTAATGTGGAATGAGAGGGAAAATAGGAGATATGAATAGTAAACTAGAACGAACTGGGATGAAAGATGTTTTTCCATCAGTTCTGTCAATGTTTATGTTGTCGGTTTGTTCATTTGGAGAGATCGTGAGACTGTGAGTAGATACAAGTGTAATGAGTTAACTCATCATTACCTGAGTCATAGCAGCGAGAGAGAAAAACGAGAGAATCTGTCTCCCTCCTTCAACACCGAACTGCCGCCCGCCCCATGGCACTGTCATTACCGGCAATATTTCACCACCGGGAGGAAAAGAGAGAAGATAGGTCAAGAGAAAGGGAGGCTTAGTTGATATCAACTGAGTCGCTTTATACTGTAAGCTAACGCCCTGTGAGATTTTGTACTTGCGTAAAGAAATTAGTTGTTGTATTGTGTTGTTAGTTGGAAATAAACTCTTAATTGAACACTCAGGGGTTTTTGTTCTGTTTAACAATAAGATCAGGGCAAATGTCTGGTCAAGCACACCTCGGGCAGCCTTTGGCTCTGAATAACAAGGCTCATGGAGAAATGAAGTGGAACAATACTGCAAGCTCGACACACACTTTCATATTCACTATGTGGGTGTTACTGCTCTGGGAGTTAACGATGGAGCAGCAGTGATATTTATGACCCCATTACAGAGGGTAAAATTAATTCTGTAATTATTCGGGGCCGGGGCAAAAGTGTTGCATGTGCTGCAGTGTGTGTGCGCATCACCTGATATACATTGACCGTGTGGGTGTTTTTGAATCTAACTGTTGTTCTTTTCGTCGTATTTTTTTTTTCCTTTGCCAGGTGCCAGTGATACTGTTTCCGCGGCACAGTGTGGTTGTCAAGGATGACGGCAGTGTGAATCGTGTGAAAAGAGACTGGGTCATTCCTCCTGTCAACGTGCTTGAGAACTCCAGAAAACAATTCCCTGAAGAGCTTGTGAAAGTGAGTGTGTACACGATAAAAAACATCATTGGTTCATCATGTGAAGTGTATTCGAAAAAGTATGATAAAAATAAACGGTAATTCTTTCATTGCTTGCTATTCATTGAGTTGCTATCGTGCATGGAATTTAATTTTATGTTTATCTTGTGTGTGTGTTTTTCAGATCCAGTCGGATAAGGGCAAGAGTAACGCACTGCGCTATAGCGTGACCGGACCAGGAGCCGACCAAAACCCCACCGGCCTATTTATCATCGACCCCATTACAGGAATCCTGTCCGTCACCAAACCACTGGACAGAGAACACATCCCCAACTTCAATGTAAGTGTGTGTGTGTTCATGACTCCATGTCCTGAGATGTCATGTCAAACTTTTGAGTAGATTTCATCCTAAAAAAAAAATTTGATTATGCAAACAAACAAAATTATTCAGATTAATCAAACCGTATGAATGATTGTACAAGATTTCCTTTATAAATATGTAAGGCTGCCACCGACTAAAGAATATTCTAGTTGACTATTAGTCGGTCATTTAAGCCATTAGCCGATTAGTCCGGCATTTATCATATTAATTTAAGTACTTAAAAATGTATGAATATGGTTTCAGATTCAGGGTTGAGAATAAACAATATAGAATTGTTCTACATTAGAGAAAAATTCTAAACCATAATAATGAGCATTTAAATATGAATTAAGCACAATTGTTCAGTTCATTATTTGGCCACAGGAGTCGCCAAATTGCCCGGTAAAAAAGTGGATTTATTATTAAAATTCACTGTAAAGTTTGTGCACTTTTCAATGCCGTTTCTTGCATACACAATGTTTAAACATCAGGCCTTTGGTCTTTAGATCTGTGTATTCCATCCAGGACAGAGAGAAGCCCTCTAAAACTCCCAATAAATTACATGTGTCATAGTTACCATGGCAGCCACCTGAGAATGTGACCTTTGACTTCCCTCTAATCCACTGTACCGTGAAGAGGAGAGCAGGCAAAATTAAACTCTGGAGGAGCTTATCTTAACACTAAGTCACACACACACATTCATTCATTCATTGTGCTCGTAGGGGGGCATTCCCTAAATCTGGCTTTTTTTATCTAAGTAAGAACAATCCTCAATCTCCTCTGGAAGTAGTTTCAAACTTTTTCTGCCTGGTTTCAATACCCTTTCACTTTACTACTGGACCCGAGAGGCTGTTAACCTCCCCCAGTGTCTACCTAATCCACATTCAGATACAAATTATGCAGAGATTACATGAATATGAAATGATTTGCTTCCTAATGGTGCCAAAGGTGGAGCATCAGGCTTCCTTCGGATAGCTCATGCATACAGCAGACTTAAAACTGCTCTAGCACACAAACTGCAACCAAGTCAGCTACAGCAGTTGGTTAACTCCAATAACCACTGTAAATGAGTGTGGCGGTTATTAGCCTCTTTTACACTGACAGTGTGTCTGTACTACCATTGATGTTACAGTTTTGCTCAGTTGGCTGCCGAAAATGTGTGAATTGAGTACTGTAAATGTCTTCTCTGGCTCAAAATGGCATAAAGACACTGAAAATTCTGTGGAGGTTCAGTGTCAAAACTCGTTAAAATGCAAACACTGATTCAGAGGCTAATTAACTTCATGCATCCCATAGCATAGCTAGTTAGTTAGTAAGATTCAGATGCTTTTATTCAGCAAGTACATATTCAAAGGATCAAAGTTAACGCACATCATCATATTATAGTGATGATTTCTGAAGGATCATGTGACACTGAAGACTGGAGTAATGATGCTGATAATTCAGATTTGCCATCACGGGAATTAATGACATTTTAAAATAATATTGAAATAGAAAATATCACCTTTTAAAGGGTTTTTTCACCCAAAAATGAAAATTCTGTCAGTATTTACTCACCATTATGTTATTCCAAACCTCTATGTGTTTATTTGTTCTGCTGAACACAAAGGAAGATATTTGGAAGAATGTTTTAATCAAACAGATCTCATTCCCCATTGACTACCATATGGGAGTCAATGGGGAAAGAGATCTGTTTGATTAAAACATTCTTCTAAATATCGTCCTTTGTGTTCAGCAAGACAAATAAACACATAGAGGTTTGGAACAACATGAGGGTGAGTAAATGCTGACAGAATTTTCATTTTGGGGTGAACTAACCCTTTAAATTCTAATCATAATTCACAATCGCAATAGTTCTGTTTTTACTTCATTTTGTCAAATAAATTCAGCCTTGGTGAATCTTACCAATCCCCAAATTTTGAACTGTGGTCTATATTCATATGAAAATAACAGTGAAAGTAGTTGTTTTCATAGCTGCTCAGATGTAGACTTGTGTGTTGATTGGTTCAGCTTTTGCTTTCATGAAGAGTTTCCATGTAAACTGTGACTTTAAATGTGTGTTTGCGTTCACAGCTACGTGCTCATGCCGTGGACTCCAATGGGAACCAGATGGAGAACCCCATTGACATCATCATCAATGTCATCGATATGAACGACAACCGGCCCGAGTTCGCACACCAGATCTGGAACGGAACCGTGGATGAGGGCGCCAAACCAGGTACACACACACACACACATTCACGCCTTTGACACAGTTTATGACATGCCTTCACCAATGAAGTGAAAACTGACATTTATTGCACCGTTCTAGGTACATTTGTAATGACGGTGACCTCCCAGGATAAGGATGACCCAAATACAGCCAATGGGATGCTCAGATACAAGATCCTCTCCCAGACCCCGGAGAGCCCCTCCTCCAATATGTTCACTATCAACAACAAGACCGGCAAAATCATCACTGTAGCTGCTGGCCTGGACCGTGAGGTACAAGGATTTTTTTTCTAGTGGAAAGTCAAAAATATACTACAACCAGTTTTATTATTAATGTAGTATTTCTAAATGTCTTAAATTATCTTTTACTTTTTTTTTTTATTCAAGTTTAAGTAATTGTGTGTTTTTTTCTCTTAAAAACTATTTCTTTTTAGCTGTAATGGATTTTTTTATTTCAGTTTTGTTAGTAATTCTAGTACTTTTTTATTTCAGGTAGTTGTTGAAGCAGCATTTTTTTAAAGTTTGTTTTTCATCAAATATAGCTTATATAATTTTATTTTAGCTTAATTTCAATTACTGAAAATTATTTTATTAGGTTTAGTTAACAGTAACAACATTGTTTTCATCTGGTGGGTTGGAACCCAAAAACAATGGGCTGCTTATCTGGTCTAATGCGGTTAAATAATAAGATGCAAACACAGGGCTGCCAACTTTTGAGTTTAGCTTGGAGTGAGAATTATGAAGGGGGATGGTTTTGGGATTCGGGGTGTTATACAAACATATATTTTCAAAACGTGGTAACTAAATATAATTTCAATACATTTAGTGACAACATTACAATGTTTGCATGGTACAATGACTGGTAGGCTACTGTTTTTATTAGTCCTTGACAAATTTCACTACATACAATTGAGATTTGTATAAATGTCAGTACACTAGCTACATGCAATTTTTTTCTTAAGGAAAAAAATCTCTCAACTAATGCTGTAAACATACAGGGAGCCCTGTCAGCTGCTATTATTATTAAAGGCAATACAATATCAAATTAATATAATGTATAATAATGTAATGTATAATATAACGTTTTTTAGAATAATAACGTTATAATAATTTTATATGATAATACGAGTAATACGAGTAAAAATGTAATAAATATGTAATATAGTGCATATATTTAGCAAAATATATATGTAATATAGTGCATATATTATTCCTCTCTATAGTTAATTTTTCTTCCTAACTAAAATGCTGTGGTCATTAAATGGCTTTCCTGAGGTAAACGTAACTTTACGTGACATTGTTCTCCAGCTTTATTATAGACCTCTTTCTGCAGTTTAAACAATGATTGAGAGATTACATGAGACATTTCATATAATAAGTTATTCATTTAAGTTATACTGCATCTTTTAACATACTTTCTAATGTTCATTTGTTTTTATTTACTATTAACTAATAGTAAAGAGGAAGAGATGATCAGTTCACATCCACTTGAACTTACGTTACGTCACGTGACATTTAGGAGTGCGAAAACAATATTTATTGTTTGAATTTCGTAAAAAAAAAATTGACATCATTTGAAAGCTGAGACTATTTCAAATCAAAACTAACCTTTTCTGTCAGTGTATAGTCTTGTGTGGCGTGAGAGCCTGAAAACAGTGACAATTGCGTCAGTTGTCTGCCCTGCGAACATAACACTTCCCATATTCCACACCATGTTGAGACCCACTGCTGTAAACCACTTCCATCTTTTGTTTTTAACCAAATTTTTCTTGTTTTTTGTTTTGAGCAGAAGGTCCCTCAATACACCCTGATCATTCAGGCTACCGATATGGAGGGAAACCCCACATATGGTCTGTCCAACACCGCCACTGCTGTCATACGCCTGCTGGATGTCAATGACAACGCTCCGGAGTTCACCCGAGAGACTGTGAGTGGCACATACACACAGACACTTGAACACGTGTCTCGCGAAAGCCATCTTTGCTGAAAATCGATCTCTCTCTGTCTGTCTCTCTAGTTCCATGGTGAGGTCCCAGAGAACCGTGTGAATGTGATAGTGACGAATCTCACCGTGACTGACAAAGATGAACCGGGGACTACTTCGTGGAATGCTGTGTACCGGATCATATCTGGGGATTCAAGTGGACACTTTTCCATCCCCACTGACCCCATTACCAATGAAGGCCTTGTCACCGTTGTCAAGGTAACACTCACAAACTTACTGAGGAATAAACATACCGACAGATGGTCTGGAACTGATGTGAACGATTCTGCTTCAGAACCACTTTGGGTTTTACACTTTCTGCTCACTCATGAGAGAAAATCGCACAACGTTCGTCTACTTGAAGTCAACACCGCTCACATACTTTGGTCTGCGATGCTGCATACACAGTCAAGCAGAGTGATACAAACAGTGAAAAGTCTCAGCACTTTGCCCAGCCAATCAGATCCGTGGAGCAGAACTAACTGTTGTATAAACACTGTAATTGGGTTGTGTTGCCACTCGCTAGAATCTCGCTAGAGTCTTATAGGCGCGGGTTCAAATACAGAGTAAAGGACTGTCTCCATGGAAACAGCTTCCACCTGCTGTTCAGCTGAGTTAATGTTTTATATGTCTCTTAATTGAGAATGAGTCATTCATTAATTATTATTCAAGCATTTCTCCTCTGTGTATTTGATTGCAACACAATCCATTCATTGTATAATTTAGATTATTTTCCCTAACAGCTCTGTTAACTTGATTGTGTGTGTGTCCTTGTGTACAGCCAATTGATTTTGAGTTGAATCGATCATTCATGCTGACTGTTGTCGCTGAAAATGAGGTGCCGCTGGCAAGCGGGATCCATCGCACCCGCCAGTCTACAGCCACCGTGTCCATACGCGTCATCGACGTGAACGAAAGCCCAAACTTTGACCCAAACCCCAAACAGATCAAACTGGAGGAGGGGCTCCCGCAGTGGTCGATGCTAACGACTTTTACTGCTCATGATCCAGACAGATTTGTGCAGCAGAGTATTAGGTATTAAAACACACACACACATGCATTTACACACACACATGTTTGAAAAGGATTTTTTGAAATAGGAGAATTTAATGCACTGTGAAGAACTAAGCAGGGCTTTCTTGCTAGTCCAGCCAGAACATTTATGGAAACTAAGCTGGAAAAATGATTCACTCAGAAATTGTCACTCAGTCATTCATGTCAGAGGTTATTTACATACAGAAGTCTTAAAGGTGCAGGAGCAAACAGAATATGTCATAGTCATGTAAAGTGGATGGTCATGAATATGGTCTAAAAATAATGTGGAAAAGGATTTTATTTCAATTACCAATTTAAAAAAAAAAAAGTTTTAGTTAACCAGAACAACACTGGTCACACTGGAAATGGAAGGTCAAGTTAAATGCTTTGCATTGTGGGATACATTGCCCAATGCAGTATGCTTGGTTGTATCCGTCTCATTTTGACAAAATAGGATATATAGTATAGTAAATAGTAGAATGAAAGTATGTGACTCCACATATAACCTTTGTGTTTTGTCATTTTTTCCCCCCATTTCAGTGTTTTTTGTATGAACAAGTAAATGTTAACCATTTGTGTTTTAAAGGTACTCTAAATTGTTTGACCCTGCCAACTGGCTGGAGATCGACCCCAACAATGGACGAATTTCCACAATTGCTGTTTTGGACCGAGAGTCTCCCTATGTTAAAAACAATCTCTACAATGCCACATTTATGGCCTCAGACAATGGTAGGAGCAGCTGTGTTTGTATGTGTGTGTGTATATGTAGAAATTCTTGAGATCTAGTGATTCTATTGATTTTAGCTCTAGGGAGGAATTGCAACCGAACAGAGATACACACATGCCCACACATCCATGTTAATGATCTCACCAACAACATATGCAAACTCATTATGAATGTCTATGCACTCACTTTCTCTGGGTTGTTCTTTGAAGCAGGCTCTCTCTCTCTTCCTAACACACACATATGCACATACACTACCCGCAGTGTGAAAGAGTCTACTGAAGTCTGCTAGGCCCTATTCTGCTGTGGTGTTTAACATTCTCGCTGCATCAGAGCTCTGAAACAAACCCCCTCTCTCTCTCACACACGCTGTAAATTTGAAAGCTTGTCTCCTGAAACACTCACTGAACAGTTGTGCCATTTTTGTATGTGGTATTTCAGTGCAAAACCCCACCTGTTATGCAGTTTAAATGCACTGAAATAGCTAGGCACTGTATGTAAATGAAGTCATTCTCATTCTTTTTAGCACAAACGCACCCTTCTTTGCAATTTAGGCTTGTTTTAGATTGTTTTTAGGCTTGTAATGTTTAGTGCAAAATCAAATGGTAATGTTATCAAGCAATTTTATTTAATTGCATTTAATTTAAATACATCTTTATTTAAAAGGGATGTTTGTGTACATTTTCTTGCAATCAGTAATTGATGAAATTATGGAGAAGAGTGTTATATCCAGCAGTGCACTGCAGTAAAGTGCACTTTTGGCATTTTAAAGGTAGATTGCAGTACCAACTACAGTCACGAGTTCCACCATTACCTAAATAATTCAGTGATTCTGTGTTTCCCGAAACCATAGTTCCAATGAATATTCACAAAGTTGTGTGGTTGGAGTAAGCAAAGCTAAACAATATAGAACAAACATAGCAAAGTAATCTTCAGATACAATCAATCTGACATTAATTCGATCCCTAAACCGAGTAAAAAAAGCAGACGTTATTACTCCATCTCCTGTGTGCCAACATGGTTTACATGGTTGACAAAGTTGGGAAACACTTGTGACTAGCTAGTTAATTTCTCCAAGGAGGCATCGTACTATGGTAGTTCATCAGAATTGCATTGCCAATTGTCTTAAGTTGCGTAGTTTAAATTTGTAAACTTGTTAAAGCAATTTGCTAAGACAGTGGGTGCAAATACACAATGCTAACTTAGCATTCTTATCGAATTCCTGCCTCGACTCAGTTAAATCTTTTTGTGCAAGCAAAAAGAAAAAAAAAACCTTTGCCACAAAGAAGCCTTTTCGTATCTAGTTCAATGCTGATTTGCACACCTGATTCAATAAATTAAGGATACTTAGGCGTACTTGACTTAGTTGTTTTCAGGCTGGAACGGATTAAAAAGTGTGTTGTGAATGTCAGCAGGAGTAGAACAGAAAGCCTCATCTCCGTCAGCCTGCCTGCGCTGCTCTGCCTGTCTCTTGTTCTTTGTTTAATGATCAGTGAAGTTGAAAGGTCTTGTTACTCTTGTTGGAATAGAAACTAAGCTCTTTTCTAAGGAGTGGAGATCCAGTGGTGGTTATAAGGGCTCTGGTTTGATTGGATCTTATAGACTGTGCATTATGGTTTATAAATGAGTTATCATGCCAACCGACCCAGATGAGTGGAAGTTAAAGTCATTAACTGCTGTAGTTCATCTGTATTGTCAGTTTTCAACTATTAGTCTCGGGCTCGGATGTCACGCCCACGACACTTTCACAGTCACAAAGCATATTGCATACAAAAACTTGTGCAATATACAGCAAGGGCTGTATGGATTCTTCTTTTAAGGGTCAATATGCAGCAAGTTTATTGCATCTTTTGTTTTTAAACATCTCACCACGTAGGTTATGTTTTATTAGATGTGTTGAAAATAGTGTTTAAAAGTTTTAAAATGTGATCAGTTGACTATTCTTAGTCAAAAGCCAGGCGACATGAGACAATGTTTGTATTGACTTTCCCTCCTTTTTCTCTTCTGTCCATTGTCAGGTATCCCCCCTGCAAGTGGGACGGGAACTCTGCAGATCTACCTGCTGGACATAAACGATAACGCACCTCGAGTCTTCCCGCAAGAAGCAGAAGTGTGCGAGCGTCCTGAGCCCAACGCCATCAACATCACGGCTGTAGACGGAGACCTCAACCCCAACGCTGGGCCCTATGCTTTCGAGCTGCCCAACCGACCATCTGACATCCGCAGGAACTGGACACTGACTCGAATCAGTGGTACGCCACAACGCCATATCAAAACACTTTTCTCAATTATGTTTTTATTTATCTGACGTTTTTTGTCATACTTGTCGTTGGTTTGTAGGCGATTATGCTCAGTTAAGTCTGAAAATTAGTTACTTGGAAAGTGGGATTTACGAGCTGCCCATCAGCATCACAGACTCGGGTAACCTGCCCATGTCCAACACCACCTACCTGCGCATCAAAGTTTGCCAGTGCGATCACCACGGCGACTGCGTGGACATGGAGCGCATCATGGCAGCCGGGCTGGGCACCGGAGCCATCATCGCCATTCTTATCTGCATCATCATCCTGCTGGGTAAGACGCACACTAGACAGAGATTGTTTCTTCCAGGCAGTGGAGTTCTTATCAGTTGGTCACATTTCTGTCGGGCACATGTGATCTGCTTTTGGTCACAGAGGCGATATAGTCACAAAAGATTTAATAGCGAGACTGTTGTGGAAATGATAGCAACCGTTCTGTTCTCTTACACCAATGTTATCAGTTGAATCAGAATCAAATGATGCTTTTCTCTTTTCGGTTGACTTTATCTGGGTTCTGTCCATGTATTTTTATACATTTTTTTTTTTTAAATGTTGGATGAACACACCAAGAAGTGTTCGATTTTGTTCATTGTATGGTGGTTGTATCCATATACTGCAAGGACACATTTATATGCAAACACCATATAAAAGTGAATTTTGCATTCGATGACCCCTTTAAGAACTTATAAGCACACTTGAGGTGGATAAATGCTTTGTTCAGTAAGAAGACATAAACACTAACTTCAATGGAAAAAATGATAGAATAAATTTCTAGAGGCACATAAAAAACGTATTGTGAATAATTCACATTGGGCCAATCTCATTGCATAAATATGGCTGTCGTCTTAATGAAACGCTGCCAAAGCCTGTCATCAAAATGATTGGCTACTGTCACCATCAAAACTGTCTGACGTGCTGTCGCCTCTCAAAAATAAGGCATCTACCTCCATTCACTAGCGATGACATTTTTGTCAGAATGTCTCGGCACTCTAAAGTAATTTATTACATTTAATAAAAGAGCCACAGTAGCTTCCCAATGGCCACAACTTCCATTTCTATTTTGCTCAAACTCCTATGTAAGTGAAAACTTTGTTCTCAAACACATGGGATGTAGAAACTGTTTTCAGGTTAAATTAAATTTGGAGCGTGGATGGAAACACGGTAGCTTATGATTATCTCTTGCACAATTCTGATTCCTCATCTCTAGTTTTAAATCACGTTACTTGTGTTAATTTACTTGATGAAATACATTGCAGTGTCACAGAATAACTGAATAATATCAATCCAATTTCTGAAAAATCACACCCCTTGTGGAAATCTCTGAAGCTTGTCTGAGGAAGCAACAGAAACTGAGGGGGTGGAGTTAGGACAAATGTAAATTTTGCTTGGTGGTGCTAAAAATGTTACACTGCACCTATTACTGTCTGATCTCAAGCGCTTGTTTTATATTGATCTCTTTCTCACTTTCTGTCTCTCTGTAGTGCTGGTGTTGATGTTTGTGATGTGGATGAAGAGACGGGATAAAGAAAGACAGGCCAAGCAGCTGCTGATCGATCCAGAGGACGACGTGCGAGACAACATACTCAAATACGACGAGGAGGGTGGCGGAGAGGAAGACCAGGTACATGCGCTCCCTCTCTACTGCTATTGCTGCTGGCCTGGGCATACATAATTATTTCAGCTCAGAATAACTTGAGATCATCGAGCTTGTTTAATAAAAACATGTTAAAAATCTTCACGATTTTAATTTGAGCTGCGTAGTGCGGTTTGAAATCACGATGACAAATTTTCAGCACTCATTTTGCAAGTTATGCTGATTACAAGTCATAGTATGCTAGAGACTCATTTTAAATGGATGAAACCATTCCTGCTTTGCCTGGTCGTGTGAGCACATATTTTTGCATTTGCATTTGAGGCAAACTTTGCTTTTTGTAAAGTCTCTCAATGCTCTCACACACACGCATTCAGTTTTATCATTTTGAGGACTTGGTTTTATGAGTTAATGATATTTTTTACTCTCTAAACCCCCATCAATGGAGAAACCATTTGGCATTTTTAGATTTTAATTAAAACATTAAATTGGGGTACACTGTATTTTTTCCACCTGCCTCTACATCTTGTGCATGGCCGAGTGTTCCTTCTTTTCAATACCCCATGGACCATGAGCACTTACAGACATGTCATCTTTCAAACTTGTCGTGGGTATGTTCTAACCTTTGCATATCCATTTTTGTTGTTTCCACCTTCTTCTTTGGTTATTTTTAATGGCATTTTCCATCATCTTCTTCAAGTAGTTCTTGAAAACAGCGAGCCAACTGTGAGTATTGCCACATAGTGGACCAACCAATTAGTGCAGTCAATCAGAGGCATGTGTGTGTGCGCCATACAAAGTTTGAATTACACCGACTCTGCTGATTTCAAAATGTAGCGGAAAATCTAAACATACTTTCAGCTATCTGCTATCTATGTAAATGAGGAAATACTATAGAGTTCGATTTGTTTTTATCCACCTTATATTTAACATAACAGCAGGCATCACTATTTGTAAATTAAATCTCCTTCCAGTTATTTCTGTAATATAAAAATGTGGCTTGACATTGCAAATTGTTTTTTTTTTTTTTTTGTCACATTATTTTAATGTGACTGATGAGAAGTCTAAGCTATCGATACAAAGACTACTCTCTAACCTAAAAGAAATGATTTATCAGTATGAATAAAGAATACATTTATTTTACATCAAGATTTGGAGTTATACTTTAAGTATTTCCATTCCAAATATGGACTGTTCCAAATTTTCCCATAGGAAGGTTTTATCAAATTTAGCTAACTTCTGAGAAGAAAATACACATGAATGTCCTTCGTTTGGAACAAAGTGAATTTAAATTGCGTTACTATAGTCCAAACGTTCCTTGTTTTGCATGCAGATGTTTCCAGAAAAGCAAGGGCTTTTAAGCAGACCTCTAACCCTGTTTGTGATTGTCTATCTGTGTTTCTTCAGGACTATGATCTGAGCCAGCTGCAGCAGCCTGATACTCTGGAGCCAGACATGATCAAGCCCGTCGGGATCCGCCGGATGGACGAGCGACCGATGCACTCTGAGCATCCGAACTATCCTATCCGCTCGGCCGCACCCCATCCCGGAGACATAGGAGAGTTCATCCACGAGGTACGCTGTGTGTCCTCTCTTCTGAAGTCGCGCCATATAAAACGGCTCGATGGCACCAGTGATAAGACTTAATGGTGATTGATTGGTTAATTGGACCAAGGTCCTTTTAGGTTTTGTTGATCATTAGCCAGTCTCAGGGATCCAATAACTCATGTTCCAGTCGTCCTCACATGCAGACCTCACACGCTCTAAGCAGTGCGACTGCACTCATAGCAGGGTGAGATTAGCAAGAAACTGCTTAAATCAGGTAATGAATTAAACATTACTGCTAAATGTAAGCAGCCTCACTTAAAAGACAGACAGGCTTTTTATACATCAGCATTTGCCAATCGTTTCGACCAAACTGTATTTTAAAGAAAACTGTCAGTTTTTTTTTTTTTTTTAAGCATTCCAACGTGAAAAGAAATTGTTTTTAGAAAAGTTTTGTTTATAGGCGTTTTATGTCTGCAGAAAGATTTGTTTAGACAAGCGACTTAAGGATTCAGAATTATGTCAGCTGAACGTCTATACAGTGTTTAGTCTATGTTAGCACTCTGTCTGGATAGTGTTATGCTAAGAATAGAACTTTATTTGGACAATATGGCGGCATTTCAAAACCAAGTGAGCTGCCTACCTAGACGCATTTTTGGGCACCAGAGGCATTTTAAACGTTCAAATTGAACATGCATTTGGATGCTCGATTCACTACTAACATTGTTTGGGCACATGTAAATCAAACATTTGAATCTACCCCAAAACGTTGTATTATCTATCTAAAGTTACGTTGGAAATGCTGTATTACATACTTACTGACACTCGTTTTCACTACTACGGTTCGAATGCTATCTTTTCCTCAAGCTTTTTTGCTTGGCTGAAAAAGTACATCATACACAAAACATTTATAGGATTCATGTTTCTTTCATTGGGTGCCCCTTTCACCATCATTGGTTTGATTTACTTAAAATACAAAGTGGTCATAATGCAAAAATAAAAGAAAGAAAAACCCCGGAAAACACAAGCTTTTGTGCTAAATATAACTGTAGAATTGTGTTTATTACGACCTGTCGGGGCCTGATGAAAATGAAATAAAAAAGGTTAATATGTTAGTATTTATAATGTTTAAAGATTACCATATTCTTATTTTCTAAGGAAGTTCATAGGTTAAACTTCAGAGGATCATTTTAAATGTTAATGGAGAGACTGCAGATTTCCTGAGAGCCGTGACACATTATTTCATAGCAGGGAATAATGGCCAGGACACAGTGGTCTTTGTGTTCATTTCAATTCTGGATTCACCTGCACATTTTACAAAACAGTAGAGAATAGTGCCGCCGCATGTGAAATGGCTCTCACACACAGTTTTTACTTAATGGGTTTCAGTTCTATTGTCACTCCTTCCTCCTTCCTTCCTTCCTCTTCTCACTTTAGTTGTTTCTCATCCAGTGCCCTGACAGTGTATTCAGTGTTTCATTGTTTAATTGTGCGAGCTCAGACTGCGGCGTTACCAGAACGCAGCTAGCCGCTTATAAATAAACGCTTTAGCCTGTTCCAGAGCCCAGCATCTGTTTGCATGGCGACCCCAATCCTTCTCCGCTTCCCTCTCCTCCCATCTCCCCCTCCTCCTCTGTTTGTTCCTTCTATTTCTCCATCCCATCCCCCTCTTCTTCAGTTAAACAGCAATACGTTGTACCAGACAAGAAAATGCTTGTACTAAACAATGATCATGTGCTATATTTGAAGCGTGTCTATTTTAAAAGCACATCCGTTGTGGTCATGTTCCCTAGGGCCTGAAGGCGGCCGACACCGATCCCACGGCCCCTCCGTACGACTCCCTGCTGGTGTTCGACTACGAGGGCAGCGGCTCCACGGCCGGATCGCTCAGCTCCCTTCACTCCTCCAGCAGCGGAGGCGACCAGGACTATGACTACCTCAACGACTGGGGCCCTCGCTTCCGCAAACTCGCCGACATGTACGGAGGCAACGACGACTAGCTTGAACCATCACCGCAGGACCACAAAAAAGAGAAGGAAGAACCGGAGGAGGAGGAAAATTAAAAGAAACATCAAAAAAAAAAACAGTGTGGCACTTTTTTTTTAATTGCAGGACGAGGACAGTGAGCAGAATCAAAACAATGAAGAAACCAATATACCCTAAAGAGACAGAGAATGAAGAGACGAGAAAGTGGAAGGAAGATCACCATGGAAACAAAACCAGGTCTCTCCGAGGCCCTCTGTTGTTGACGGAAGGGGGTCTTATGAAGGAAAACTGCCTAGATTTGGTTCAGTCCAGGATTTTTTCGCCTAAGTTTGAAGGATCATCGGTACGAAACGTATGAAGGAACGCTTAAAGAACGTTAAATGAATGCTAAGTTACACTTGAATCTCACAGTACAGAAGCACTGGGATATTACGTGCCTTTTTGTACATTTTTTTTGTTTTGTTTTTTCATTTTTACATTTTTCTTTTCGGCCTTTGGTCATTTGATCTGATGATGTTGTTTTTCTGTTCAATGGCTTTGGTGGCTCAGAGTTTTGGAGTGTTTATGTCGTGAGCCTGTTTATAACGTTTATGCTTCTGCTTGCGTTTCTCACCGTCACGCTGTTCGTCTCACGTCACGTATCAAAACGAAAGCTTTGGAAGAATGAGAGCAAGACAGAGGGAACAGCTTTGTACAGTATGCTAGAAAATAGATTTTAGTTTCTTTTTTTTTTCTTTTCTTTATTTTAAAAAAGTATATTCACTGTTTTTCCACCAGAACGTTAACTTACGCAGCCGGTTGCAAAATAGAAGACGAGCATTATTATTTGGTAGCAGAACTCTTCGTTTCGTTCATTTATTTTCTCTCTCTCTCTCTGCATTTTTTGAAGTGATTTAGTATTTTGCAAATGAAAACATTCTGTTTTTTGAAATGTCATCTGCCTTAGTCATCCTGGTATTCTTTCATGCCTGGTATTCTTTCATTTTTTACTCCACTGTAAATTAAATGGCGTGTACATAGTTTTTTGTTTTGTTTTTCCTCTTTTAATGTAGTCTACCAAGAAGAACAGGGCGTGAAGAACTTGTAAATGTATAATTTGGACTACAGACAAAAGGATTTTTGCATGTTTTTATCTTTTACGTAAAAAACGGTCTTTCTGAAATTGATTTACACACAAATAAAGAAATGCCCACCTTGAATGAGACTAAAGTGAATAAGTGAGACAGAAGTTTGGTCCAGATACCTGTTGTTTTCATCCCTGCCCATTCATGACCTAACATTCCTTTTTCATTTCGCCCTTTTTGGCCCAGTTAATGACCTTCCATTTGCCCGTTCTCTAATTTCATTGCTTGACGTCCTTCGTCAAGGATTCCATGTTGACCACCTTGCGCTTCCTTTGTTCTTCTCTGCTACGTTCTGCATTTCCATTGTCTTCTCCCCCGGGCCACTCTCATGGATCAAAGAGGTCGGCTGACGTTCGAGGCTCCGAGGCCATATTCCTAAATGCACGATCCTTCGGGATCTTCACGTTTGAACTAAACTGTAATGGTGGACCTAAGCCCTCATCATAACTGTCTCTGCCTGTTAGAGAACCGTAATGGTGTGTGTGCGTGTGTGTGTGTGTGTATCACTGGATACCGTCAGAGAGGGCCATTTAAAAGAGCAGGATGGAAGTACGTGGCCAGTCCACTCATGAGGCTCACAGCCATAAGATGATTAACAGCTTTTTAATGGACGATGGCTGTCCAGACTTCTGCGGGCTCTGTTTGCAATTACTTGTTGATATTATGACCCATTGCAGCCCAAATGACCAATAAAAGTCTAATTTTGGAAATGTTGATTTGTTGGTTTTCTTTGCTACTTTGTAGCATTAGCAGCTGTCTTCTAAGCATCATGGGAGCTCACCAGTGACCGATTTAGAACGCTCTACATGGGTAACAAATCACTAATAGCACTCCACATGAGAGACTTGACTTGCAATTGATTTAGATTGTGATTATATTGCTGAGCTAAAAGCTTTATTCTCTTAACAATCAAAAATTAGTGATGCACTGAAATTTCAGCAACTAAAAATGCTGAAACAGCAAAAAGATTTTTTTTTTTTTAATTATTAAAAAAAATTGTTGATCGAATAGCTATTTCATGCACACAACATGGACAAACGGTGCATCATGGACAGACATACTTAAAAATGACTAATACTAACGTAAGTATTTGCTCTGCTGAAATATCAATAATTTCACTACCACTGCTTTAATTTTTCACACCAACATCATACCAGGTTTAGTTTTCCATTTACCCAAATTTCATTACAGAAAATTTTATCTATTCATTTTTCGTCTTAATGTAAACTAATTTTCTGTTTCTTTAAAAAGAAATTATTTCAATGCAACACTTATAAAATACATTGAACAAAAAATGCATACATTTTCACATGTAAAATAACACATTTTTATATTTTTCAGAACTCAATTGAATCTATAAGTAATTTTTATCTCACCTTAAACACTATTTTAGATTCATTTTTCACTGAGCTCGGAGCCGCTTCTTCTGCTTTATGGATCACCTGCTGCTGCCATTGAATTTTAATAAAATTAGATATCTTATTATAGCAGCCTTTTTTTTTTTATTTTTAGTCAGTGTGCCTGTAATGCCTTTAAATGTTGCCTGCATATGCAGTTCACTAGGTTTTGGAATGAGATAATTGTATATATACATGCTAAATGGGCTCCATTAAATGGGAAAAGGAAATGCCATTGCATACCTTGACCTTAAAAGTATTTACTGGCAGCTGGGTCATTATCTGGGTCTGTGTGTGCCTGCCTCCATCATTTGAGTCAGTCTACAGTCCACACACACACGCACTGACGCACATAATCTTGTGTATTTCTATACTCCCTCCAGGGCTATCCTTTGCTCCTCCTTCTCTATCTAACGTTCTCCGGGGGCTGAGATTATTGTGCCAACATCAAAGCCTGGCCTCCCCACGTCCCATTGTGTGTGACTGAGAGAATGAGAGAGCTAAAAAGTGGAAGTCTTGTTGCTTAAGGTCACACGAAGGATGGGGAATAAGCTTTTCTCTGTGCTGCTATCTCCTTCATTCCACACTCCCTACATATATATAAACATATAAAACTTATTCCTGTGTTTTATATTTAGAGTTCTTTTCCTATGTCCTTTTATACTTCATGTTCCATCACACTCTTTCTCTGTCCTTTGTTTCAGTTTTTTTCTTTCTTTCTCGGTTTTGTCAGTAATGGTTTGGCCAGTCCAGTGGAACACTTGATCCTTTGTTACGCCAAAGGGATACGTCTCTCTCTCTCTCTCTCTCTCTCTCTCTCTCTCTCTCTCTCTCTCTCTCTCTCTCTCTCTCTCTCTCTCTCTCTCTCTCTCTCTCTCTGTGTGTGTGTAAGAGAAAGTGCAGTGGGTGCTGCAGGGATTTACTTAATATAAAAGGAATAGCCTACGTTGAGATATACATTAATGTTGTTGTTTTTTTTCACTAAAAAATTATATGATCAATAAGCAATTTGTAACTTTTTTTGTTATAAAAGATTCAGCTCATTTTTAGTCAGTTTAATTTAATTAGTTGTGGCTTAAAAACCAAGTTTATTGTACTTAAAAATTAAAACAGAAACTTTGTTTTGTTTGTATGGACACAAATCTTGACTGATCATTAAAAAAAGAAAAAAAAAAAATCTAATTTTAGTACTGCCCAGAGGAAGTTATTTGACATAACTGATTCCACGATATAAAATAATTACTAATCACAGAGACTGAAGAAAGATTTCTAGAAACTAGAAATCATCTAGAACTGCTGTCCATGGAACAAAGTTACAGTTCTTCTAGATGATTTTACTTGACAGAAATTACCTTGAAAAACATAAAGACAAAAGAGTAAACATGCCCACAGGGACCAACAGTTCAGTTGGTTACCTAGTCGATTAAGTGTATGATTCGTTACTGATTCAAACGGTAGGTTAACGTGTTTTTGAACTATCTGGATAAAGGCCAAACTATAATGCATCAGTTTTTGCGCGTAGCCTACGCTAGGGTCAGTAGATTACGTTACGCGTGACACGAATTTCATCTGAAGAAGAGTACGCGGACCGCCCTATCTTTGAGGTTATATTTGTACAACTAACTGTAACATTAAATAATTCAAAGATATTTACATGGGTTGAAACTCGAAACTGCGCATGTGTTGAACGCCTGTGTATACGAGTCAAACGAAGTATATTTTGCAAGGCTGTGCGTTTGACTTAGCCATTGGGTAAAAACCGACGTACCCTTTCTGCTTAATTCAGGAATCAGGCTCATAAAAGTCATTCGTTTTGAGCGTCGAGTCCCTAGGTCGTGCCACACTGGTCACAATGTAAAAGCGACTCATGGGAGCCATTTTATCGTCAAACGGCGTTACACGTGCAGCAGCCCGTAAGGAAAACTCAACGCAATAGACTGCAACGAATTCACAAGTTACTCAGGTAGGCTAAATATGGTTTATTTTGGCCTGGTGCTGAAAAGCGTCGCAGGAAACACAGTTTTATGTCCTTTTCTATTTTTAACAAATAGGTTAAACATCTTAGGGATTCTGCAAGGGAGGCTATGTAGATTTATGAACTGCATATTTGTAAAGGAGTTGGACCAGTAAAGTGAAAGGGAGGACTGGATGTGAAGGGGAGTTTGAGGCTCTAAAAATAGTACTTTGTGCTGGCTGGAGGATGGAGATGACATTGATCAACTGATACAGAGGGAACAACTCTCATCCCCCATCTCTCTCTCTCTCTCTCTCTCTCTCTCTCTCTCTCTCTCTCTCTCTCTCTCTCTCTCTCTCTCTTTCCCGAGGTCTTAACTCTGCCTTTTACATTCCTGCTTTTCCATTGCTGTCAGGGTCAAACTCACTCCTCCACATACGAGTTTGGTGTGTCTCACTCAGATTTTCTTTTATGCCTCAATCCAAAACAAAACATTTGTTTATGACTCATTGTGAAAGGCAGAATTAACAAATAACAATATAAAAAGGTTAATAAAATATCCTCACCCTTGTGGGATTCCAAACCTCTAAGTTTCTTCGTAGTACACTAAACACACAATTTGACACAACCAAACTGTGATTCGAGAGCTATGGCAGAGCCAGAAGGGAAGAATTTCAGTGACAAATCCAACACACACCCTCATGGAATTTTGTAATTATGTTTTGACAAACTTGTGGCAAATCTGCATTTGTACAAACTCACACGGTTTATATATGATCCGCTTATATCCCACAGATGGTTATGTTTAGAGTTGGGCTGTCATACTTTTCCCTTAAAAATTGTTTCTCCACAAATCACATCGTAAAAAGGAACACGAAATCTCCACCTTTAAAAATAGTTCTCTCATGAGGTCGGGTTGAAAAAGCACTGTAATTTTAGTTTGTTCCCCACAAAATTGTTATATAGCTTCAGAAGACCTAAGGCGAATTTCAAACTGCATTATAGTCACTTTAATAAGGAGATACCATTTGAAGGATCGTTCCAAATGAAAGTGAACAACTGAATCCCTTCACGAAGGGCCCTTCCACAAGCATGTTAGCAAAAAGAACATGCAATGGTCACTTCAATTAATTCATTGAATAATTTTTGGTCATGTTCTGCATCCCCTTCAGTGGGGAACAGGGATTGCCCATTATGGTATAAGTTGTATAAGTTATTTGAACTGCTTTAATGTTGCTTGGTGCTTGTTTGTTATTTTTGTAGCTTTTCCACTACACAGTACCAGCTCAACTCAACTCGGCTCGCCATTGTTTGGTTTCCCAATGTTTAAAAGTTGTACCTGTACCTGCTTTCGGGAACTGTTTTTTTGTATCACCTCCGGCGAGGTTCTGAGCGAGCTAAGGCTAGCTGAGTCGGTACTAAAATGTGACATGAAAACAATGCCGACTGACGATCCAGTGAGAGCTTGATAGGGCAACGAGGAACGAAAGGCGTCGCTATGACGACCGGGTACTGTTTGTGGCTGTACTGTCTGCAATAGAAAACAGAAAAGAGTTGAGTCGAGTCGAGCTGGGACTGGTAATGGAAAAGCACCATTCTTCAAAAATTCTCCATTTGTGTGATGACTCTCAGGTTAATAAATGACAGAAATGTCATTATTAGTTGAGTGGGATCTGGCACCCCCATATTCTGTACTTTAGCTATATTCAGTCCAGGATTGATGTGTAGTAGAGTCATAATGTACCCTTAATCTCCTATATTTAAATCTGATTATATTTGTGGATATCAGCATACATGTTATGTTACCTCCACATGCTATAGGACATCCCAGAACACATGACAAAGGGAATGAAGCAGGACTTTGGCTTGTTAATGTCCACAAATGGCCTGAAGAGTCAACAAGAGCTTCTCTCTTCTTGTCTGTGTTGATGTGAGTAGACATGAGAGGAAGATCGGGCCAGCTATATCATTGTACTGACAGGGTTTGTTCACAGCTCTGGGGAAGAGAGAGAGTCATTCACATAATGCATTCAGTCCTGTTTTGGATGCAGTGTGCTGGAATGCTAAGTAAATCAGAGGACTTTGCCATGCTGCTGTGTCACAAAAAGAGACCGCTTTAGACAAATGTCCTTTGACGTTAAATCATACTAGCTGTTTTCAGGTGGTTTAGATGCTTCTGGAAATCTTGAAATCTTTCAACAGAATATCTTAAACCGCATGCTTGTGATTGTGAATATTGGAAGGAAAATGACAACAAAAAAGTGACCATGAAATCAAAATTATTATTATTTTTTTTTGTAATGGAATATTGAGGTATTTATTATAAATGATTTATTTGTGAATGTCATTTAAAAAAAAT